TGATAATTTACAGATTTGGCCTCCTGACAAGATTGCACATTTATGCACAGAAAGCATGCCATATCCTATATAGTTGCCTTTTATTTGTCCTACTGTAGTTTTTGGCTGCAGTACCTTCATATATATTGCCAAGAAAGCTAAAAATGGTTAAAGGAAGTGAAAAAAAATAATAAAAAAAGAATTTATCATGTTCTGATGTCTAAAATAAAGAGTTGTCTATTCCTACCAGTGCATACATCCCCATCTAAGCTATCACTAAATTTCATGTATATTAAGCACAAGCACTTTTAAAGCTTTATCAGTAGCGTGTTCTGTACATCAAAGTATGAAATAAACAGTAGAGTGTTACTTTGTTCTTATCTTATTTCTTTGCATAAGCCCATGTTTGCTCTCCATAGTTGATATATAACTACAGCCAAGTAACCAGTAAGATGCAAACGGACAAAATCTACTCTAGTTCTATCTGATTTATAAATACTCTGTTGGACATTCCATTGTGAACTCTAAGGGAACATTTTAAATTCTGCTTTTATTAAAACAATGACAATCTGATTCAACGATTCTAAATCAATTTGGCTTGCAAAGGTGTAAGAACAAAATCTGTCTTCAAGCTATCACATTCTATTATTATTACTGGGTAGATATCTTAAGCTCTGAAACTCAATAGCTACTCTACTACGGAAAGTGAAAATCAAAAATAATACTGTGAAAGTCAAAGGCTGAGTGATTCTACGACCAAAGTCACCTTCTCTGGTCAAGGAGAGGTAGGTGGAGTCATATCTTCCCCTACTCTGCCTGCTCCATGCAAGGTATTAAATAAGAAAGTCCCTCTGACACCACTGATTTGGCACCTCATTTTAAAGGAATGTCCTTTCCTGTGCAATTGCCCAGACAGACTTAGAATCTCGTAGTAAAAATGTTAAATCCTACCCGGAAGGTTATGTCTTCACCTCCACAATCTATGTCAAAAAGTCCTCTCTTCAAAATCGTTGCAGCCATTCACAATGCTGGAAAATGACACACCTTGTTCTTGGGTGGCTGTTTCCTGGTTCTAGTTCAATTTCCTGATTCCTAGCCATGACACCTCACAGGGCTGCAAAGTGCATTCTAGATGTGCCAGTAAATTAAAAAAAAAATTCAAGAAAATATTATGGTTTTTTGTTTAAAAAATATGTCTGGACTTTCATTTCTGGAAATTCGAATAGCAAGATAACTAGCCAAAAAAAATTGCAAGTATGGTTGTTCTATACATACACACAACAATCGCCCACTAGCAACACATAGTAAATGATGGCATTTCTAACACTGCCTCTGGTTTCTTTCTGTCATAGGAAAATTCTCTAAATACAGGAGTGTACTGGTGTTATTTCCCTGGCTAGTGTGCTATGCGATGCAGACACTGTCCTAGAAAGCTCTAACTCCACTAAGGTTTGGCTTTTTACCAAACTCAATAAGTGAAGTCAACGGCAAGATGCACAGGGCAGCAATGAGCTGTTCTGAGTAGGAGGGACCAGCTCTATACCTTCTGCCTAAGGGATAATTTTATATTTCAGACAACAGCTTATAATCATCCTTCCCTGAAATTAGAGGTAAAAGTAAGAGTGTAAAATCTTATTCTACACTTCCCCCTCCCATTCTCTCCATCCAATCTTTATTGATTAAAGGAACATTCATTGTTTTTTAAATTGTTTTTTTTTTAAGTGTTGGCTTCTGGGGCTTTAAAAATCAATGCACTTGCTCCAAGTACTGGATGCAACATTGCTGCTGAATTTATCTGTGAAATGTACCATGATTATGTTTTCAATTTATGAAAGTTCTTCCTTTCCACTGCATAAATGAGTATGTTATCATTTGGCTGCCTTGAGAGGCGCCTGCAAAGTGGAAGAGCATAAGCAAGAGAGACATGCTCACAGAACATGAAACATCTATTAAATTGTACCTCTATCTGTGTAGTGAGCAAAATAATTTAGAAGTTTCAGAAAGTTACAAAGAGCTTTCTAGCTCAGATGCCTGATAACGGGGCATCATCTGATGGGCTGTGATACCTCTCTCTAAGCTCTGCGATGCTGTCTGCTAACCCAGGCAATGAGGAAGTGATTTTCATTTCTTCATCCTTGCAAACGTGAGCTTGAGCTTAATCATCAGGTCAGATGCTGCTTTTTTTGCTGAGAAGGATAATTTAGAGCCTCCAACCCAATGCTTGTAGAAAGAAATGATTTTGAGTACCCTCTCTAAACTATACTAAACTATATAAACAATAAGCACGTGCCCGCAGGACAAATTCAGATACTCTTTAAGAGACTGCAAACTGAAGTTCCACCAAAGAAAGCATCCAGAATTTGGAGTGATTGGGAACTCTTGGTTTCTTTTATGGTACTGATAAATGTGGTAAGTTGTGGTGCACAGAAATGATACAACATAAAGCTGAACTGCATATTTCCTTGCTCTAGAATGTACTGAAAGCTGAATGTTTATGTGGAATCAATTTTTATTTGGAAAAAAAATCATAGAAAGAAAAATGCAAGGGGGCGCTTAAACCAAAAAATTCTGTCTCAGGAAGCCTCTGAGCTGCAGATCACTGGAAGCTGGGAGAGTAGCCCACTTCGGCCCATTCTTATTCTCTTCCCTGTGTAACTTTTGTTGGTCACCATTGGAGGCGGGATACACTACACAGACTTTTGGGCTGATTTAGTGCAGTTGCTCATGTTAGCAGTACATGTAGACAAAGATCATCCCTAATACATTTTACTTACCCATGGTTTGACAGTGACAGTAACACAAGTCCTTAAAATAGGCATGAATATACCAAAAGCATTTATTTTATATTCTGCTCATGTTTTATATGAACTTGGATCTTTCAGCCATGTCTCAGTAATCACAAGAAATCAGAGAGCTGCTTTGTGGATGATAGAAGCGAGGAACTGAGTTGATGAATTGTCAGTGCCAAATATAATACAGGATAGAGCTGAATGAACATTCAAAACCAGCTCAGTTAAAGAGTCCAGATCCAAAGTCAATGAAGGTAATGGTGAAGGGAAGCTGGACCCTATCCAGTGCTACTCTACTTTTCAAAATGATAGAAATCTGAGAAAAAGAGAACTGAGAGAGGAAGCATCAGAAACCCATTTATATGGAAAGTACTCCCCTCCTTCAACCCACTCTCTCAATTTGCATATACATGTCTCTCAGCTGTTAAATCATGCGACCTAAATGTCTCTGAAACTAGACAACTTTAAGGAAATGCAATCTCTCTGTTTCTGAAGGTTAGCTTCCCAGTTGTTCATGCACCTACAAAATATTGCGGATATGAGAAGAACAAATTTTTTTCTTTTTAAAGAGGATTTGTTCCATGATCCAGAACTTTTTTCTGTGGTGTTACCATGAAGCAAAGAAACTGGATTGATATTATCTTCTGTGAGAAGGAAACTAAAGGCACAAGTAATCTATGATCCTGATCAGGAGAGAAGTATTTGTTCTTTGGCATGACTGCAGGTGCCAGCCACTCCCAGTGGTGGCACCAACAGAGACAGGGTGATGACATTTTCCCATCTTTTCATGCCAGCAATCTTTGTGGTAGCCAGAATGATCAATCATCCGCTGCATCCGCTACACACTGAGAAGCTCAGTGACAGACTAAGTCTTATTAAATATCTTGAGAAGCACCCGACAGGACTGATATTCTGCACCACACCAGGGTGTGGTGAAGAGCTGGTGCAGAGCTGCATCTTCAAAGAACAATCAAGCTCTTCATTTGCAGAAATGCCACCCATACACAAAACCAAAACTGTGCAAAAGATCTGATCTGAAAACCTGGCCAAAAAAAAAAAAAAAATCTCAAAATCTCTTGCTGCTCTCGGGTGTGAAAGACAACACACTGCTCATACACTCCTTTTTATGTGGATCTTTTATAAATTAGAAATGGATCCTAATAACGGTAAATAAGGTAACCGTACTATGTTCCAGAATATGATCTTTCAGGATCTTTGCTTCCATCTTTGAGTGATCTTTCATTCCCACTATGCATAAAAAGACAGATATGCAAACATGTGAAACTACTAATAGTTCAGATATGAAACAGGGATACAAGGATTCTGAGGAAATTGCATCAAAAGGGAAATAACAGTCAAAAATCAGTTTAAGAATATTTAATAAATATTTTTAATACTGTAGAAGTAATTTCTCAAGTAAAGCTTTAGGTGAGGTTTGTTTTTTTCCTAAAGGTACAGCATGAAACTGAGATAGCAAAGCTGGTGCAGCCTGTGCTTACCCAAAACAAGCAAGGGCTTGATAAACCAAATTTGCTCAAGGATTTCATCTGCATGTTAAATGTTTTCACAGGTAGGTCACTTAATGCACAATACCTCCCAAGTTTTTGGAGGAAATGTAACTGCTGACACAGATTCTGTCCCCTGACATCTGCTATTACATCATGGGTAGGACTATCTCCACCATCAAGAAAGTCTCCTGACAAACAATCAGCTCCCAGTGTAAGAAGTGGGGGTGGAACATAAGGCACCACAACAGAATTTATTCAGAGTGTGGGGAACTGGCTTTAAAGTTTCATCCAATCTACTTCAGAAAGATAGGTTACACGCGGGACTCTATGTATTTACATAGATTGTTGTCAGTCCTCCTTATCTCCCATTAGTCACTTCATGTCTGTACAGCAGTCTGAAGATATGGAGTGCTATGTAAGTGCTAAGCATGTGACTGATCACCTGTTACCAGAGACTGACTGAGTCTGTTGTAGAGACTGCAACACTCTTTTCATTATCCTGAGAAACAGAAAACCTTCTCAGCCAAGAAGACAGGGCTGGCACCTTCAACTCCAGGTCATCCCAGGAGTTGCAACTCTATTTTCACTTTGACACAGAGACAGAGCCGAAAGCACAGTCAGCGAACCACAGCGTGACACTGCGCTGAGCACACTGCAGCGCTGCATTAATCACTCCGATCACTCTGTTCATTGTTATTTTCCTACTTGGTTGATTTTCCCCTACCTGAAAGTCAGAAGTCCAAGTGCCTCTAAAGGGTTAGAAAACCTCCAGCTCCTCAACACGGCATACATTTCTGACACAGTCGTTCGATCCCAACTGGGGGCACTGCCCAGCACCAGAGGAAGGGAGCAATTTTGATTATTGCAGTGGTAACGATAAAACCATAAGATTCTTCTCTGTTGCTCTGAGAGTCTGGAAAAGAAGATTAGAAATTCAGTTTGAAATTAAAACCACCTGGAGCTTTGTGTAGCAACCTTTATTGTACAGAGGGGCCAAGTCACACAGTACACTGCTTTTCAGCTAAGTACGTGTTTTCCTTGGGGTAGGATATCATTTTCTGCAGACCAGCTTTTATAAGAAAAGTGATACTTATACTCTGGATCTGTCAGCCTTAGGTCATATAAAAATGAAGTGTCAAAAGACATACACATATGATTATTTCACATCCCAAGCACTCTCAATTTTCTTCTTTGCTGTCTCTGTTGTTGGTGTTGGTTTTTTGATTGTTTTTACTGTTGTTGGTTTGGGTTTTGGTTTTTTGGGGGTTTTGTTTGTTTGTTTGTTTGTTTTCCCTAAGTTATCAGCAGATAAATTGTCACATCCATCTGCTGTATATTGTCTCTAACTAACTACTGTAGACACACACCACTGCTTGTCGTTGCTTTCATTTCTGCCCTTGCTTTGACTGCTTAAAGCAGGTGTGTCTATTTTTAATGTATCTGCACTTTAAATAGGGCTTAAGCACATCCATGTGCATACAAAAAACACGAGCATGTGCACACACAGAGTGTGATTATCCCTAGCACTGGTATGAGTTTGGAAAAGGGAAGAAGCAACTTCTATATCTGTTCACAAAGCCTAGCCAGCCACGCTTCGCTGTACTCACAAAAAAGGATGTAATATGCCAAATTCCTCAACGAGATATTAGATATCTAAAGGATATATTGATAAAATGATCAGTCAGCACACCATATTTCACCACAGTGAGAAGTACCACAGAATAATTTCTGCTTTACACGCTCTGATTTGTCAACATTTCGGATGTCTTTACCTCATGCATATTAAATCCCAGGTTTTGACACACCAGAAAACAGAAAAATAAATTCCCCTTGAGAGACAAGCCCAGACAATCTCATTAATTTGATATCAGAGCCTTCAAAAGCAAGCTCTGAAAATGCAGACTGATCTCCAGTTCATACAAATCATGACCAAAATCAAGAACACAATTTTTCTTAGTCATATTTGACCAGATTGGCGATCTGTCTACTTAATGACAAAATATAATTGTGACTTGAAACAGACACACATATTTCAGAAGGTGTGAGAAATCTTGTAGAAGTCAGTGAGTAAATAGTTTGTTTCCAGTCAAGCATTTAATTATCTAGATGTGTAAACAGAGCTCAAAATTCAAGGGTTTACATTCTTTCCAAGCTCATCTTCCTTCAATTTGCAGTATTTTGGGATGTTCTTAGGCAAAAAAAAAAATCATATCTGCACTCTAACGGTCAAGACTGTGTCTTTCACAACTCATAGCAATGAGTTCCTCTGGCTCTGTATGCACTAAAGAACTTTCCTGCCTTGCCATTTTGAATTGCCCAGTGTTCAGGAACAGAGAGCAGCAGCACAAAGATGGGCATGTTTTTTACTGTAACAAGAGGGAATGTTAATTTCTTTCCTTTAGGAAAATAAGCTCATAGGTGTATGCAGAGATGAACCTAACTGTGACACAAATTCTGTTGTGACTTTCAGTGACCATTTCAGGAAAAGTATCATTTTGGTAATCACTTCAAGAAACAGCTTCGGAATTCCCAGCATGTCTACAGTGACAATAGATAGATGCCTTTGTGAACATGTGAAGTCACACACAGAAAAAGATAAATGTAGGCCTAAGACTTCACTGCCTCTCCTGATTATCTTATGCATTTGGATGGTATTCTGCAGGACAGTTCAGCTAAAGGACCTCTCCTACATGTTAACTTTAAGCAGAGATTTAAGCTTTCAAACAGCATCCTCCAAACTAGACAATCTGATGTTCAGATTAAAGCAGCTAAAGCTTGTACTGAGCTTGCAAAGAGAGATAAGAAATCAATCCTTGTATCATGTTCTCTAAACAACAGATTTCTCCCTCTGACTTTACTCCAGAGGCAATGCCATTTTCTCTGCCCATGCTGTAAAGATCAGAGACGAAATTAAAGGTTGGTTGGGGTAGGGGTTTTTAAGGTTCTGATTTTGAGTTTCTTAGTTGTAATAAAAGTTAACATATACATGTAAGAGGACACTTAAAATAGATGATAAAAGTACGTTGCATACACACAGGATCTGAAGATTTTTGTGTTAATAAGGACATTTCTTTGGCTCAACAGGGATAAGATGCTAATATACCCTCTTTATTGATAAAAATGCAGTTTATGTTTTTTTAGGTAAAGTCGTATCTAAATTTCCCTCCATATAAGATCTAGATTAAACTCTATACCCTTCTGCTTAACACAAATAAACCCCCAAAAACCTAAATAATTCAGTAATTTTCAGTTTAAGTTTTCATTAATCCCTTTAGCTAAATGAAGAGAACAGCTCCTGCGAAAGGTTTGTTAGCTGGTATTAATTGTTACCTTTTTTGGGGAGGAAGGAAACGGCAAAAAATGAGTTTAAATTCATCTGAGATGCTTTTGTTGTTCATGTTCAGTACTAAAGCAGAATAAGACAAAAGGCAAAAAGAGGAAAGAGTGGCAAAGCTAGAAAATGCAAATTTCTGTCCCCTGGCACTGGCTTTCACTTGGAAGTTTCTCTGCCATGGACAACCTAGAAAAGCGTGCAGCATTACCACATTTTTTTGACCTCTTCCACTATTCATCCAACTGGAAGTAGCCTTTCTAATCACAATTCACAGGAAAAGCACTCTTGTGACCACTCATAGGCAAACTAGACTCTTTCCAGGAAAGTGGCTAAAATGGAAAAGGAAAAGGGAAGCTGAAAGAGAGGAAAAAGGTAGAAGGAAACCAATTAAATAAAGATGGTAGAAACCAGACTGTCATCTTCCGAGCTGCAAACCAGTCTCTGATCCCTACCCTGGAATCCACACTTCACACTGGGATATTGGGCTGTATCAGGTTGGAAGAGCAGCCTTAATCTCACATGGCTAGTATTCCAGAGTTTGTATTTCAAACACAGCAATCCTAAAAGGAATCAGAGGCTCACATCTGAAATGTTTTCAGAACTCAGCCAAAGCAGCTGTCAGTAACTAATGAATTCTCCTCTTGGCACTCTCTTCTCTGGTTTGGTGATGATGCCAAAGACCACACAGTGTAGGACTGTGAGGAGCACAAGAGCCACATGGTGAAGCTCATTGCCTTCAGTCCCGTTGAACATCTTCATTAATCAACAGCCAAGAGATGCTGCCCATGGAGACCAGTGATCTGAGACACCTAAGAGACAAACAGGAGTCTGAGATTCAGCTACTTGGAAGTTTGTAGGTCTGGACCAGCTACTGGAGAATACCATGTCCGTGGAACAGGAAGAGGCCCAAGCAACCAAATCAGAGTGTGGTTGTGAACCTTGGAGGATCATATGTCTGTGTGTCAGTAGCTGGGGAGAGCTGTAAGTTCTGGGGTCAGCTCCTGAATAGACTGTCTAAGCCCAACTACTGGAACAATCAATATTTTTTATGCTATATATATAAAAAAAAAAAACTTATGCATATGTATATATTCTACCAGCAGACTTGGATCCTGATGAGGCAGAGAGGAGGAACAGAATCAGACTGCCTGTGCTGTCTATTTTGTGGCACTGTTGCCTGTTTAGGTGGCAAGGTACAGCTTTTTCCTTCTGTTGAGTTATTGATATTATCAGGAATACATGATCCACCTCTGGAATGGTTGAACCTGGGGACACGTTCCCACAGCAGCCTTGCATTCATAGCACAACTGGATTCAACAGCCTGTAACAAAGACAAACATGCAGTTGTCTGTTTTTAACCACTGTTTCTTCCTTTTCTATCATTGGGCTAAGAATATTTTCTGTCCATTCACACATTCCCTCTGCTTCCAGTAGAATGAACAGAAGGATCCTGACAGCATGAGAAAGGTTTCTTGTGTCTTCTGACCACAGAAAACCATGTATCTCAAAACTGTGTTTAAGGATAAAAACCTACATAGATTCCTCTCTTTTTCTTGACGTATGGAAAAAAGGAAGGAAGAGATCTTTAGGTATCATGACCAAAATGTGTTTGGATGCTGATACGTTATAAATTTTTTAAAGAAAATCTTGTGAATGAGGAAGGTAAACAAAAATTGCAGGCTGACAGATTCCTCTTGATCACTAAGTACTAAAAAATGTAATTGTTTCATTCAAAGCCCTTCACCTTCATGATTCAATTGGTAGATTAGCTTTGCCTATAAGACAGGATAACAGAAAACAAGAAAGAGCGCAAAACCACATTCTCTTTCCTCCAAAAATCTGTTACTGAACTTATCAAACCTTTAACTCCAATCTGGTGACTTTCAGTGGTCTCTTCCCTTCACATTCCCAAAAAACTCAAAATTGTTGCATTAAGGATGTGATAGGGTCTACACTTGCCTGTTCTTTGTTATTCCTACTGAATGAACTTGCTATGCATGAATTTGTGTATGGCCCTCATGAACGTGATGACATTGTCTGACTTTACAGCTTTGTGACAGCAGATTTTAAAAGCTCATCACTGACTGACTAAGGAAGTACTTTCTTCCCATTGACAATTGATTTCCTACCTGGTTTCACAGAATGTCCCTAGTTCAAACATTGTAGGACTTGATGAGGCATTCACCTTGTCTATCACCATCATGATTATATAAAAATTAATCATGCACACACAGATATTTATAGTCTTTTCTCCAAACTACAGAGTCCCAACCTTGTTAGCTTCTCTTGGTCAAACAGATGCTTAATCCCTTTAATGATTTTAGTTGCCCTTCTCTGTACATTTTCCACATCTACTGTGTCTTTCCTGAGTTGTGGAGACAAGAACTATGCAGCATACTCAAAATACAGCTCAGGGTTTTAGACAGCAGTGAAGTGGCATACTCTGGTTCCTTCTTTACGCCCTTCCTGATGATGCCCAGTATTTTATTGGCACTTTCAGGTGTTGCTGTCCATTGCATTCACGAGCGCAGGGAAATACCAGAAGTAATGTCAAGACGTACTTCCTGTATTCTAACTGCCAGTACTGAGTTCAGTGTCATGCAAACATGCTTAGATAATTTTTTCCTTAAATATAACCCCCTTATATTTATCCACACTTGAAGCTCATCTGCCATGTTTTTGCCCAATTTTGTAAAGTCCTTCTGGATTTCTCCTCCATAGCACAGTGACAATCTGTCAGAGTTTAGTACCATCTGCAAACCTAGAGATTTCCCTGCCCACTTCTTTCACCCTGTCATCAATGAAGATACTGAATAAAACTGGTCCCAACCCTGAGCACTGGAAGACCCTGCTGGTGATTCCTCCATTCTGAAAATCCTATTTTAAACATCCTATCTTTGCCTTTAACCAGTTCTCTTCTAAACCCACGGCAAAATAATTTCTTCCACAAATTAAGTTTTTTGAACATCCAAATGCCTTATTATCACCAAATCCCCAGTATCCATGCACTCACTGACAACCTCCTAGGGCAGCAACACTTTGATGAGGCAGGATTTTTGTTCACAGAAGCCACACTGGTTCTTCCCTGACAAATTACTTCATACTTAGATAAATCCTTAATGATCTTTTTCCTTCTTACTGAACCTACCATTTCACCATGAATGGAGCCCAGGTGCACTGGTTTGAAGTTCCCCAAATCACTCTGGAGCATATTTTGCGGCTGGAAATTTTGATGGCGCCTTGCCAGTGCCATGGCACCACAGCTACTCACAATAAAATACTGACATCCCATTCACATTTTAAAATAAAACAGAAAATCTCAAATCACAGATCCCATGGTTAATAAAAATTTTACATTTCATCCTGTTTTTTAGAAGTTGAGATAAAAATCAAATACAAAGTAAATCTTCAAAAAAAAAATTGATTTTAAAAACCCCAAGCCATCAACACCGAAATTAAAATAGTCTTAAAAGATACATTGTATCAAACGGGGCTAAATTGACTCTAAGTTATATAGTTATTGTAGAGTTAATGCACCTTTTGATCTTTGATGGAGGATTAATTCAAACAATCAACTGTCATTAGTAAAAGGGCTCTCTGTAAGCACCAAATTCCACTCTGATTATACCCAAAATTATTTTATGCAGTACATAATCCTAACTGGTAGTATAACATACATATAGCTGAGCATACTAATCTGCCTTGGTATATACAGTGTGTTTTGTTTCACTTTATCCACCTTCTGTGAAAAGCTAAACTTTACATACTGCTTTCCTTGATTATAACTTGAAAGAGATTTTTCCATTGCCATTTAACTGCTATATCTGAAGTCTGAATGTACAATGACTGAGAGAGGCTGATTTCCATTGATCTCAAAGGTGTTCTTGCTAATACTGATATAGATGTACTGCATCGCCTGAAAATCTTATTTTCTGAACCAAAAATTAGTTTCTCGCTTTAAAGACATGAAAAAATATAGCAATACAAAGGGAAAAACAATACTTTTCTAAAGTGGTAAAATACACTGCCACCTCCAGGGGCCTATTAGGCTTTGCTGTGATCTATTCTCTTATTTAGAGGTGTTAGTTCTCAAATCAGTCAAGCTAGGCTCCTCCAGAGGAAAATTTTGTTTTTAAAGAATTGGATGCACCTAATTGTGATCGATAGGATAAGCAGAGCAAGCCAAAAATGAGCAGGGCTACCTGGGTACAACTTACAGCAAGGGAGAATGTATCTGAGAAAGCCTTGCAATGTGCTTCAGGCACTCTTGGGTTGGTTCTTCAAGATCTCCTCTTCTTTCTTCAGGTTCAGGTTTAATGAACTCCAGATTAGATTCTGGAAAGTCAATCTTAATTACAAAAAAAAAAAAAAAAGAAAAAAAGAAAAAAAAGTGATTTTATCAATATGTGTTGTCAGATACAACTGTCAATTAATGTTATCTTGGATTTGTATGATAAGTACACACTATAGGACAGAAAGAAGGAAGGATAATTCTTCGGGGATGCTCACTGTATGTAACATGTTACTTAAATGTTTCGGTGAGAAATTCAGTCTACAGAAATAAGTGGAATCTAATTTTCCTGCGAGAATTTCATCCACTGTATTTCAATTTAATTAGAACTGCATGAACACAAATCAGGAGCAATCTTTTCCTTTTCCCTTCCTTTCCTGGTTTTTAAAGGGGTGGTTTTTTTTAAGTGGAAAACTTTCACTAAAGTAGATCTAGGTTTCTTGGAGGTTTTTTGCTTGTTTGTTCGTTGTTTTTTTTTAAAGTAGGGATACTTATGATTGCATTATAACTTCTGGATGTCCAATTTCATATATATTATAGAACATCTACCAATTTTTCATTCTTTACATTTTCGTGTGACATCAGTAATTTAAGGTAATGTTTTTTAAGAAATAGAGAAAGTAAACATTCAACCAAAATGACAGTGCTTTATGTATTTGATAACCTCAGTGCATACATGTCTGAAAACTCAGGTTGTTCTTCAAACATTGGCTCAGTTTGCATCCTTTTTTGGTTTATTAATGCTCACCACAATCTCTTATCTACTTTTTAATATATGTATTTAACATGCAACACTCTTCTAAAGGTTAAAAAAGTTATTCCCTACAAAACAGTCACATCAGAAATTGAGATCATCTTTAAGGTCCCTTCCTACCCAAGGTATTAATTCTATGAAAATCTATCTTAATGACATTTCCAGCATGTTCCCAAATGGTGATACTGCCACATGCATGGGAATAACTGAAAATGAGAGATCTTGTTCCATTTCTTTCAGCAAAGAGAGAGATTATAAATTAATAGCCATTTACTGTCTCAACATCTCTTTATTATTAATAGGGGGAGCTATTTTAAGGCATGGTCTTTGACTGAACTCCTCAGACTAGAAAATCCCTATTTGCTTGTCTGTTAAAACTAGGTTATTTTTAGGCCAGGCTTTTTTTATCTGAATTTTTAGCTGCTTTTACATGTACTTTGCTAATAGATATTCAGCTTTTTACTACAGAAAACAATTGCCTTTGCCCTTTAAGCATCCAGTTGCTAACTTAACCTGGAAAGGTGGCAAAACTATCATGCAGACTTAATGTATTCTCAATACTGAGAGCACCATTCTGCCCAGATTATGGGAGTACTTTGACCAGGGCAATGACTGTCCCCCTGTACTTGGCACTGGTCAAACCCTATTTTTAGTTCTGGGTCCCTAAGTACAAAAAAGACACTGAGGTGCTGGAGAAGGGCAATAGAGCTGGTGAAGAGCCCAGAGACTAAATTATATGAGGAGTGGCTGAGGGAGCTGGGGTTGTTTAGCCTGGAGAAGAGGAGGCTCAGGGGAGACCTTATAACTCTCAACAACTACCTGAAAGAAGGTTGTAGCCAGGTTGGGAGCAGCCTCTGGTCCCAGGCAACAAGTGATAAGACGAGGACATAGCCTTAAGCTGCACCTGGGGAGGTTCAGGTTGGACATGGGGAGGAATTTCTTTATGGACAGTGTTGTCAGGCACTGGAATGGGCTGCCCATGGAGGTGGTGGAGTCACCATTCCCAGAGGTGCTCAAGAAGTGGCTGGATATGGCACTTAGTGCCATGGTTTGGTTGAGAAAAGGTGGTGATCAGTCAAAGGTTGGACTCGATGCTGGAGGATTTTTACAACTTTAGTGATTCAGTGATTCTGTGGTCAGCATGCAGTCATCGAGGGAGAACTATACTGACACCTCTTAACAACTGCTTGTAGCCACTTTCCTTTATGCTGCTCAGTCTTATTGTAAGCTGTATGTTACAATTACAATGCCACAAAAGCTCAGATTTGACAGGGCAGCTGTTAAGTCAAGTACCACGTCCTTTATTTGTGTCAGAAGTATTTTGGGAACCAAAAAATTCAAGTGCTGAGCCGTTGATTTGTGTCAAAAGTATTTTTGGAACCAAAACGAGAACAACAAAAATTACCTTACAAAAAACTTCTCTAGCCCTCAGAGGTGCTTATTTTGATATGGAAAGCACTAAACATATTTGCCACTGCACAGAATTACAGACTGTCATCCTGAAGATTAACATGCTTTCTTTGTGTGGCCTTGAAAAGCTGCCTTCTTGCACTTTGTTAGAGAACAACCCTTTGCTTTCCCCGCTTTCTTACCTGCAGTGTGACCGAGGTTGGTGTGTCAGTGCTGCAGATGCCCGGGGTAATCATTGCTGTGGGTGTGCTGCACAGCGTCATGCTGAGGAGCACAGCTCCATGAACGAGCCGCCTGCAATAAACACAGAGAGAAACAGGAGAACAGGTTTTATTGAAACTACATCAAAGAACGTGGAACTGCAGAGCTTAAAAGACAAGCAAAAGGAGAACAAACCTTTTCTCTTTATGTGACTGGTATAAATCTGGCCTCGATCAGTAGAGGTTGCATCTGCTATCTCTGCTGTCTCACTGCTATCCCTGCATTTGCAGGGTTCATGACACAAATCACATTCCCAAGACATTCTAAGCCAGCTCTGCACTTTACCACTGACTTCTTGTGAGACAGGGATTGCCCTTTAAGCTGGATGTAAAATAAGGATAATACTGTATCTATAAAATTTTCTATCTCAAGATTTAATTTTGAGGATAAATATGTTAGAGACTGTGAAGTATCAACACTGTGTGAAAAGTGGAGGGCAGCATACATTTATTCCACAAGAAGAAGAAACTCATGGCAATCTAATGCAACCATGAAGGATCCTTGCTGATTTTATGTGTAGATGGAGGGGAGGAGGGAGTTTGATATCAGTCTCCAAAGAGTTGAAAGAAATTTGAGTGGGACAGTTTGTACCACATATACCACATTTGGTTTTCGGACAGATGAAAGATTATAGTCTGAAGTACCAGTCTGAGCACGACACATACAAGAAAGTCTTATCAGCAAAACAGGCATGCATGTGGCCTGCAGATAAGAAAACCAGCATGATTTGGCATGTTAACACTACTCAGTCCAGAGAACCTGAATATAATCAGAAAGTTTGGGTGAAAACTCTAAGCATAACCAATCGACTCAAATTAAGAATGCAGTACCTGAATAAAGAAAGAGAGGGTACCCTGGATTTAACCTTTCGTTTCACGGAAACACAGAGTATGCTGAGTTGGAAGGGAGCAATCATTGTGTCCAACTCCTGGCCCTGCACGGGACCATCCCCAAGAGTCACACCATGTGCCTGACAGTGTTGTCCAAATATTTCCTGAACTCTGTCAGGCTTGATGCTGTGACCACTTCTCTGGAGAGCCTCTTCCAGCGCCCAACCATTCTCTGGGGAAAGAACCTTTTCTAATATCCAACCTAAACCTGTCCTGACACAACTACATGTCATTCCCCTCGTGTCCTGTCACTGGTCACCACAGAGAAGAGATCAGTGTCTGCCCCTCCTCTTTCCCTCATGAAGAAGTTGTAACTGCAGTAAGGTCTCCCCTCAGTCTCCTCTTCTACAGGTGCCCTCAGCTGCTCCTCACATGGCTTCCCCTCAAGGCCCTTCACCATATTTGTGGCCCTCCTTTGGATGCTCTTCAACAACTTAATATCTTTCCTGTATTCTGGTGACCAAAACTGCCACAATATTCAAGGTGACACTGGACCTATTTGTCCATATCTTAATGATCAGTGAGGTCAGAAATTTGATTATGTTCAGCATCTCTACTTTTACTGACAAACAATTTTTATTTATATCTCTTCAAACAGTGCTCAGTCATAAAAACTGAGAGATGCACTAGATAACCTTCTGCCCATTGCAGCAGAAAGAGACAGTCAGAAAGGTGGTTTGAATGCCCAGCTTTTACCTAAGAGTAGGTACAAGAGAATCCAGATGGACTATCTGATCCCAGCATGAGTTTACAATGTTGCTGTATGAAAGTACCTCTTGAACTGCAAACTGAAATAAATTGCTTAAAGTGACCTGAGGAAGGTCTAAGAAACTCCTGCAAGGTCATTGTTACAGTCCACATAAATTAGTATAAACACAATTCAGGACTAATTTTCTTTTTTTACCTCTCAAGCTGTTCATGTTTTTAGTGCAAATATTTCATTTTATTGTGAGAACACAGCTCAGGAGGATTAAAGACAACCATTTTCTGAAGTTTCTTTTGCAGCTGTAGGTACATTTGCAGGGGAATGGAGGCAGAAAAAGAGCTGTGATGTGAACAAGAGAGCACTTGAGGGAAAGCAGCAGTTTTGTTATAAGAAGTTTTTCTCATTTAGGTCACTGATGTGAATGTGGAAATGATCAATGGTGATTCAAAGTTGTTTTCCTGTGATGTGTACTCAGATGACCTTTAATAAATGAGTGGCATCTCTTCAACCTTTGTTGACATCTTTGTTCAAATCTTTGTTGACAAAGATTTACATCATCATGTGAACTAATTGGCACTTTTGTTAGAAGGGAGAGGAGTAGCTTAGAACAAATGAAAATGAAGACTAAATTATCCTTCTGAGCTCTCATTACTGCTAATCACTCTCATATTGTGCTCTAAAACTATGGGGGGCTTTAAAAAAGAATCCATACAGTGGTTTTTTTTCCTGGGAAACCCGTGTAGACAAATACAAGAAGTAGCACAGACCTCAGGAGTACTGTAGATGAGTTTATTTGAGACATTTCCTGAGCTCATTATTTCAACTCATTTACACCCAGTACTAATGTGGCTAAAGACCATCCAGGAAGATAAAGAAGAATCATCAGATGGGCTTCACAGGGTCCTCAACTGGAGAAACAGTAAGTAAAGCAACTTGCCTTTGCTGGACTGAGACTATTTCACAAGGTAAGGCAGATTACAGGGCTGTGAGTAAAACCAAAGATGCTAAGCCACTTCCACTGTGTGGAAATAACATCTCCTCAGAAAAAATGAATTTTACGAGACATATTAATGCCTTGTATATGAAGTAGCCTAATTTATAAATTTAGAAATAAGTGAGCAACTTCTGTATCTTCCATCAGTAAATCACTCTTTGGAGTAAGGCTAAACTGTAAACAGAGGAGGTATTTTTTAAAAGATCACATCAGCTGAGAATTAGGGTGTATGTTTCTGAGCACAGCTTTCCCTAGCAATCTGTTGGGCACTGTACACACTGCACAGTCAATCTTCCATCACTATTTTTAGAAAAAGAAGCGGGAGAGTGTGCAGGATAGATGATGGTTTCATGCAACAGCTTCAGCATCAAGCACATCAGAAGGTGAATAATGCTGACGGAAAGCCCTGGAATTGCACAGACTCTCAGCTCTTGTTTATTACCAGAGATAAAATAAACTTCCCATCTTATCACAGAAGAGGACACAATTATTTAAAGGCAGCTCAAGGCATCCTAACTAAACGAAGTCAACCTGTCTCCTGAAGTCACATGGCAGACTTCCCTCACCATACCCTGCAAGAGGAAAGTTCTGTTGCTTGCTCTGTCTGATTTGGAAATGCAAATTCAAAATAAATTGTGGTGTTGGAGTCAGTGAAGTCAGAGCAGTGGACACTACGGGGGACATTGCAACTCCAAAATTGCCCCAAGTGATGGATTTCTGATTTGTTAATTAGCTCTGGATCACTAAATTATTCAGCCCAAGAGACAAACAGTTTCTGATGTGAAGGAAGGGAAAGTTGACACACAGCCTTAAAAACACTCTTTAAACTGCCTCTTGTGTCTAGTAAGACTTCTTGTTACAGAAGCACCATCAAGGGCTCTATTGGCATTGATTTAGGGCTACTATCTGACTGAAGTCAGCTACTTGATAGGGCTGAGAAATGCAGATTTGGAGGCTCACCTACTGGACAAGTTGTCAGCTGCACTGATTATTACCGTGCTCATTCCCAAATGGATATAACATTAGAGTAGAGTTACTGTTTAGGCTGGATATACCAGGAAAATTAGGACAAAGTACTGTGTAAAAATAACTTAATTATCCCCAAACCCAACATTATAAGTCTTAGAAATTCAGAGTTGAGGTTAAATCCAAAGCTCCTAAAATATAAAACTCCCCATAGCTTATGACCCAAGCTGTCTAAATTCTGCATTGGAATGATACTGTGAAATACCTACTTCATTACAATTACAAATACTACAGAGCTCTAGAAAATTCAAAACAGAGACAGAATTTTCAACTGCAAAGTAATGCTAAGTGTCCTATAGACATTTGTAAGGGCCATAACCTTGATCCCCACAGTTTCCAGGTTAAATAACTTCCTTAAATTTGTATAAATTTGAAATAATATTACCAGATTATTTCAGACTTTTAAAACAAATTTGCAGGTACATTCCTGATTACTTCCTAAATTTTCACCCAAAAATGTAAAGTTTAAGTTTACAAGCAATAACTTTAAGGTAAATAACTACATTCAGGCAACCTTTGGAGAATATTTACCGGAAGTAATTTTTGTAAAGGGTGAAACTAGTTGTACAGAAACATCCAAAGTTGATAAGCAACACACGTTTGGTAAAGACTGTATATCCAGCAGCCAGTCACGTTATAAATTTGCACATGGTAAGGAAAATGACAGAATTAGAGTTCAGGAAGTAATTAAAATTAAGCAAATTTGAAATTTACTAATCATCTGTTCACTGATGAGTCTTTATCAACAACAACAAACCTAAAATAGGCCAAATTCTTGAGTACATCTTTAGGTATTGTGTGGTTTCAAAATGGGCTAGGTATGAAGAGATTGTAATAAATAAATCATGCACTTTAAATATCTAGATTTTGCTTCTTTGTAGATGTATATATATTTTTCATACACTCTGCTTAGTAATTTTTTAGAGGAGAATTGGAGTGCTGAAATCTCAGAAAATAACTACAGCTTTTTAATCTGGCAAGAGACTTGACATGGTCTTGCCCAAAAGCACGAGGAACTTCACACTTCTTGAAAAAGATGAAAGGAATTTGAATACTTTATATGTCAAAATACATTCATGCTTATTCTTCAGTTCAAACTAAACATAAAGAATTAAAATATGAAGGACAGAAGTGACCATATAATGACAATAATCACTTCAGAAGAGAAAATAGGTATAAAATTTACAGAGATGAGTAAACTCAGAATCTTTTCAAATAAAGTTTTCTTTTGCCCTAAGTCACTAGTAGATCAAGGTTCCTATGTAATATCTGAGAATAACCCAAACCTGGGTTTTTTTCCCCTTCTCTCTTTAACATAAGCTACAGTGAGCTTGATCAAATTCCTGTTTTTAATCAGAAGATACAACGGGACAGAAATGAGAAACTGTATTTTTAAAATGTTTGACATTTATTGTGCTTCTCCAATATTTACAAAACAATCTGACTCTTTTTTAATTTTTTTTTCAAAAAGCATCTGAATAGAGAAAGAGGGGCCACACTCTGTCCTTATCTTCACTGACACTGAGAAGAACAACCCTGAGAAGAGACCAACTGAGACAAGAATTTGAACAAGGATGTTTGATGACCCAGGTAAATACCTCAGGGCTGCTGGCTTCTTCAAAGAGCTTACTTCTGTCCTTTCCCCAGTAAATTAAATCCTGGACATAAGAATGTTAAGACTTTCATAGAACTCACATTCACCTCTGACAAACGGTCTCTTTTGAGAAAGTGGTATTTTCCAAGCTAAAAATGTTTTGTCAAAGATTTTCTGGTCAGATTTCTTTAATCTCTTCACATACATTTACAGAGTTTGTTATTTAGAGACCCTAATACAATAATCTTTGCAGTAATACAAGATGCTCTTGACATATTAGCATGACACTATAGGTACAAATCTTTTCTTGGTACATACTTTCAAGTTTGGAAGTACTTTATTGAAATGAGTCTTACAGTTTAGTTGCATTCCAGCAGCAAGGGGATTTTCAGGGCAATTCTTATTTTTAAACCAATCAGTCTATCAATTGAAATCACGGTGAAAGAATAATTCTGTGGAGCTGTGGTTAGCTAAAAGAGGAAAAAGCATTTAGGCTTCTTTGTGTTAGTAATTACTATAATTGCAAATGACACAGCTATCAGATTAGGGGGTGTTGAACATGCTATTCCTAAATCACTCCTCCCCAACAACTCACCCTTCATTTCTGCTTTGAGGGGTCATTTCAGCAATGATCTCTACAATTACACAGCAAATGCATGGAAAGTAGCCCTCTCTCCCCTTCCTTGTGCTGATTGTGCGTACCAGGAAAGAATGGAGCCATTTTTCAGTAAAATTTTTGAAACTGTCTGGGTGATTTGGAGATTTCCCCAGTGAAAATCAACATGCTTGCTTTGATGGCATACACTAAAAAAATCACAGGTTGCTGAGGGCTTTCAGAACTTCCAAAAATCATTACTTTTGGACTCGAATGCTGAAAAATAAGAAAATCTCTAGAACAGCACAGGTCCTCAAGAAGAGGATCCCCACATAGGTACCTTTGGAGGTAAATGGAATAAGTGTCCCCTCGTTATCATGCCTAATGCTCTGCTTCTGAATGAACGTACTCAGCACGTATCAGCTTGCTGGGGATAAGGGCAACTGAACTCTTCATCTCAAGTTAGATTCTCAGCCAAGATACTCCCTCTCTATTTCACCCTAAACACCAGGATCGTAGAAATACTCAAAATAAACATATTGCATGTTTTGTTTAAAAAAACATACACAGACAAAGAATGAGTAATGTGCTGTTCTTGAAACTAACCATGAAAAGTAATTGAATAAACTGCCCAAGCAATCCTTGGAGCAGAGATTCATGTTTCTTTCCTTCCTTCAAACCACATGCCCTAATCACCAAGTCAGAAAAGAGCAGAGTAATTGAATTTTCTCTAAAAAGATGGAAAAAGCCTTTAGCCCAGTCCAACCTATTTTCTAAGCCTCTCAAGCTTCAAAGTCCAGTGAAACACAAGATCTTTCAAACATGGCAATTTCATTCACACAATCAGACATTTTACTTGTTTTATTTTGCTTTAAGTGGTGATTGCCACGATATACAGAAGTAGATCAAATGTCTCAATATAAGGAAAGAGCTATAGCTTAGAGATGGATGCTAATGAAGGAACTTGTACGTTGTAAGGCTATGGAATCTAAATAAAAATTTTAGTATCATTGTAAAGACTTGATCTAAATTCAGATGTCACAGTGCTACTAAAATATATTTAGGGCACTGCAAAAAATTTACCTTAGTTTCTATACATCACTGCAGAGACACTCAAAGCTACAGGCACCTTTAAAGCATTGTTACGTTGTGTACTGTGTAGAAAGAAGAGGTTAAAAAAAGAGGAGAAAGCTTCTAAAGTGGTGTGGAGAGGTAAAGGTGCTCATTGTGGTCATCACTAACTGTCTCCATTTAAGCAGAATGAATGGGTGTGAGAACAGGAAAAAAAACACCAACCACTGTGAACAAGAGGATAGGCTGAAAAGGATTCTGCAAAGCTACAGGAAAGGGTTCAGCAAGGCCTTTCAACATGCCTACAGAAGTTTATAGTAAGTGTTAAATAATCACCAAAGCCGAGTTCAAAAACAATATATGGCAAAGAAAGAAAAGCTTATGGATGGGGCTCTTACTGGGACATCAAAAGCAGTTTACTGTGACTGTCTCAGTCTTATTACTGCAATGCCCTGAAATGAGTATTTCTGTCTTTTTATATTTCTCCCAAGTTGAGTGCAGTACTATTCAAGAATGGTCTTTTCTTACGCTGTCACACAAAACTGAACTTACTCTTTTGGATACAATGGGGAGCATGTCCAAGCAAGCACTTCTGTATTTTTAGAGGCACTGTTTACTCCCAGTAGTTTTATTGTCAGCATAGTTTCCCTCGGAAGAGCCTTTATTCGTAGAGGAAAGTTGATTCTAAAAAAAAAAAAAAAAAAAAAACCAAAACAAAAAATCAGAAAAGAGAAAAATAAAAGTTAAAAAAAATTGAGCATTATTACAACTGAGTTCTTTCTACATTTGTCTAGATTCCCTAACATATATCAAATTATAAATTAAAGGAGTCACACTCTGAAGGAAAATGCAACTGACAGATCACTTCAATCTACTGATGAATATTGACTTCAGTGGTAACCACCAGAGTTGACAAAGGCAGGAGAGCTTAGTTAAACTTTGCTTTAGAATTACCTTATTAATGAAAGGCTATTTCAGAACAAACAAACCCCTAAGGGTGAATTGTAAATCAATAGTCAGTCATCTGTTGTCTTGTGTCTTCAGAGGAAAACACCACTTAAGAAACCAAATGTTTCTGAACAGAGTATGATAATAGGTCTCTTGTTCAGATGTGCTTTAGTGCTGTGATATTTCCCAACCATAATTTACAGACAGATTTTGTCTTAACAACAATGAGTGACTCATATTTTTTAGTGAAAATAATCAGTTTTATCAATATTCATCTCCACTTTGTATTGACCATTAGCAAACTTGGCTGGTCGTTCCATTTGTTTATATAGATTATAAAAATTCATAATTAAGAATGATTTAAATTCATAACTTAAAATAATTCTAATAAATCAGATACTTTCATGCTGTATGGATAAATCATGCGTGGAATTACCCAGACATTTGCAAATTTGTATTTTCTTTTTCCTGAAAAGATTGTTAATGGTGGGCAGTGCATTTCTAGCTTTTTTTCATGTCTATTCAGTGCAAGCCTAAATTTCTCAAGTGGAGAGGAAAATTATTACACTTTTTCTGTACAAACAAAATCAATATAAGGAGCTAGGGGCTAAAAGAATTATTCCACATTGACAACATAATCATTAAGAAAACAAAAGATCTGCATAATGGAGTTTAAAAAAACAAACTAGAAGATAAATTTAAATAACATACACTGGCAGAGCAGTGCAACTCAGCCTTTTGTTGAAGGTATAGTCATACTTAAAACAGCAAGCAGAAGTAAAAACTGTATTTTAAAAGCATAGTTGCTTGAAAAATATAAGAATTATGGGTACCAGAATAACACATGGTAATAGTATAAGGTAAAATTAGCATAAGATTTTGCCCTTAGTTCCAAATCTGTCAGATTTCTATTGAATTTTGGAAAGTTTCCTTGAATGCACTGAGGAGCCACTGAAAGAAAGTAGAGATTTTCATCTGAAATTCTGAAGCACTCCAAATTAGCATTAATGTCAAAATTTCAGATGATCAATCCTAAACATTTGGAAATGATACAAATTTGCATACCTCTCTCTTTGAATAACAAAGCAAGACAGCCATTTCCCCTCCTTCTGATTAACAGGAACAGGACTGAGAAGCAATTCTGAACTGTCTTCCCACGTGTCCCTGTCTATAGCTTTCAATTTTATTTTCCCTGTCTCATGCCCTCTTCCTTACCCATAATTATTAGAAACAATTATTGGGAAACCAAACTACTTCACACGCTAGAGATGGCTTGTACTGTCTCTTTCACTGACAGGCAAACAACACTGCCCTTGTTACATAAAAATGTTTGACAAAGAGTTGCACTTTAAAGCATCATCCATGCTGCGAAGAGACAAAAAAAATAAATCAAGACATGCATTTTATGATACAGACAATTGTTAACACTCCTTGAGAACCTGGGGCAGTGAAAAAACCTTCACAATTTGAAGAAAGAAAATGATTGATTGGAAACCACCAATCTAATCCTCTAAATGATTAAAAACTATGGCAAGTTAAATATCCCAAGAGTTAAAGTATGAGCCAAAGAGGACCAACATTTCCCTTCCAGTGACATGTGATACACAAGGAAGGGGAATATCTGCATTGCTTTTGAAACTTTGATTAATACATTTCTGAATTTACTCAGTTGTCTCATCCTTTATGACAGTATGAGGCTGAGTCAAACAGAAGACTAAGAAGAATAAAGAGGAAATGGAACACTGTCCAGAAATAAGACACCCTGTGGGAGAACAATTTCAACAGTAGTTGAGAAGAACAAAGAAGCTGCTCCCTGAGAAGGTGCTATTCACAGATATTAGATAAAGTTATACAGCCAAGGGCCTAATATCATAAAAGCACTCAACACTGAAAAGCTTTGGGGCAAACCAGGCTGTGCCCTGAGAAGTGTAAGCAAAACAGACAAGCCAAACAAAACCTGGAGAAGAGGGAAACCCAGTGCCAAGAAAGTATCTGAGATGATGAATGATGGGCTTAATGTTAATCCCACACCTCACGTCTGTAGGTTTAACACAAATTACGGAGGGTGGGAAAAGAGGAGATGGTGGAATAAATATATAGAGAGCAACCAGCTAAGAGAAAAGAAAGAAGATAATGTAAGAGGTCTCAGTCAGTGAAAAATGAAACTGGTGAGAAAATAAAGGGGCAACTTTTGGACTTCACACATTATGTGCTAAATGGTAATAGCCTGTTCAAACTCTGCACCATGGAGACAATAATACTTTTCAAAGACCATACACAAGTTCTAAAGCAAAAGTATACTCACAAAAGTACAAACAGAAGAAACACTAAACAAGACAACCTCTGTACATAGCAAATGATTCCCATCATCCCTGAGAACATTCTGGGAAGGACTGAATAGGTAACAGACTTTAACAGAAGCTCATGTTTATACATAAAAACCTATCAACCTAAAGTTCAGGTGCTAACTGGTTGAAGCACTTGAAACCAGAAACTAAATACATGAAAATCAACAAATGAAGTGAGCCTTGGCTATGGTAGAAGTTCTCTGCCTAGATTCCTAATCACCCAAACACTACTCTCCATATTTTTTCTCCTTTGTTCAAATCAATCTTTATCTCAGATCAGGATTCATTTTGAATTAGCTGGTTTTCGTTTTTGCCCTGATTCCTAGCTATATAGAAAATATCTGACTTCCTAATGTAATAGAAGCTCTTCCTGATGACCTTTTACCACGTGCATTTTCAACAGCTGTTATCAACTGAAAATAGTATATTGGTTAGAATCAAAGTAGAGGGAAATGTTGAAAAGCCTACCAGACAGATATAAACTTGAGGGGTTTTACTTTGGAGTCTATCAGAATTGGATTTTGAAAATTATTTTTGAAACTTAAGAAACAGTAAGAAGTAAAAAGGTGCTCTTACAAACTGATACTATTATATACACCTCTAGATCTCATTTCTGATGTTAAGAGCCTCTTAAAGCATCTAAGACCTATGGAAGAATGGGGCGTGCATACTTGACTGTTTCTTTTTTCAAGAAGCATTTGGATGGAATCGCACACATTTAATAATTATTTTGCAGAGGGAGAGGTTTCAGCAGAAAGCCTGAAGCTTCAGGTTTTACATTTTCATGAAATGGGAGAAGAGCAGTGTTTCTGCTTCTGTTACAGCTAAAAATTTTATTTCTACTCTATCTTGTTATATTTTGTTTTAGAAAAGGTTTTGTAAGATGCATTCCAGAAAGGCTTCACCCACATTTTAGAAGCCAAATATGCTCTTAAGAAATACAATATTTCCCTTACACTTCAGTTATATCTGCCTATATGTACCATAAGAAAGTACTTGACCAAAACTTGCAGAAGGTGAAAATTCCCAAAGAGCATACAAGAATGATCCAATTTTTTAAACACACAGACAGCAGCTACTCCGCAATCATACAAAAGACTGAGAGTTATACACTCAAACACTATGGATTCAACTGAGGCACCAAAGCAGATGTCAAGCCCTAAAAGAACCCTTCTGGATGTTCAGCAGAAGTGCACCCATTTTGTTTCTTCATCATAGGGCAGACCTACTACTCCTCCTCTGTCTGTTAGGAGTGCTGTACAAAAACGTTATGCAAAATCTCCAGTAAGATAGATGTGTAGCACGTTTAATATAAAAAGGTCTTCTCCCATATGACCAGCTTGAAACTGCTGTGTCTTACATAAAGGCAAAGAGGTTATGAATTACACTCTGTATTTAATTGTAATTTAAAAAAACACCTTTCAGATTACTTGTGGTCTTAATTCTAATGTAATCAAGTTGCTTTCAGAGTTAAAATACAGTAAACACTGATGCAAAATAGCAAAAATTTTAAAAACTGTAAACATAAACATGCCATGCTCAGGAAGCTGAAAGAATTTCATACTACCATCAAATCACCAACCATACTTCTCTCTCATCTATTGCAAGTATATTTTTTGTCATCCCATTGCCTTAAACGAATGTTGTTTGAGTGTGTGCTTTGTTTTTCAGGGGAATTATTTTCTTCAGAGCAGACAGGCAGGTGAGAGGTAATTAGTAGCTTTCACACTAAACTTGCAGTCTCAAATGAAAGTCCTAATTTTAAAACTGAAGATCCTTCTTATAAAAAATAAACACACAACTACCCAAAACCAAGCCAGCAAAGAAACAAACAAACAAAAAAACCCAAAAAAACAAACCACAACAGCCTTGCTGGTCTGCAAAAAGAAAAACCCTTAAAAAAATGTTACACTGGGTTTTGAGGCTGCATTGCATAAGTACTGGAATTGGATCCAAAAGCTGGAATTCCTCAAAAGAAGACAGAAACACAGCCTTTAGTTGCATCTCCTTTTGGCTCCATGATGCCACCACTGAACAGAAGCTGCACTCAGACCAGACTTACCCTAGTCCTATTTCTATTCCTCTGGCTACCCCACTTCTTTCTTACTCCCATCTCATTAAGTTTCTGTGAATTATTTGCTCAGAAGAAGATTCATTAAAAAGATTTGGGTGTCTAAGTTTTGATTTTTTTTAAATGAATATTTGATTTGTAATATCTGTCAGACAAACTTATAACAAACACAGACCCAAACTTACTTCTCGTTCCAGTCAGCCAGGAAAAAGAAGGATCTTCTAACTGGAGTAGTTTTGCAAATCTTCACTTGGCATATTATCTTCCCAGCATAAGTTAGTGAACAGGAAAAAGAGAAAACTTTGTAGCTACAAAGGGAAGAAAAAGGAAATGGAAACAACAAAAAAAAGAAGATTAATTGTAATGTACTATGTCCACACAGTAAATTTGGAGTTACAGAAACTTGTGAATATCCATCCTTACATGAAAAAAGAAATAAAATAAAGAATCTCACATTAATGTGTGTATGAAGGGCTGTTTATTTTGGATTATTTGGGGTTTTTTTTTAATTTTTCTGAGTTCAAGAAAAATTCTTAAAACACCTGGGTTTTCTTTCATGTTTTTGTGATTAAGTTGTGGTTTTTTTCATTATTGATTTGAAGGAAACTTTGGACATAAGTTCTGAAGTGTTGCTACTTGCTCATCATATAGTCAACAGGAGATCTCCCACCTGGACAACTGTGACAAGTTCTGGGGCCCCCAACGCATGAAGGACACAGAACTGCCAGAGCAGGTCCAGAGGAGGCCAGAAAGATGCTCAGAGGGCTGGAGCATCTCTCCTATGAAGAGAGGCTGAGAGAATTGGGGCTGTTCAGCCTAGAGAAGGCTCCAGGGAGACATTAGAGCACCTCCTAGCACCTGAAAGGAGTCTACAAGAGAGCTGGAGAGGGACATTTTCCAAGGGCATGTAGTGACAGGACAAGTGGAAATAGCTTCAAACTGAGAATAGGTTCTGAGATTAGATATTAAGAAGTTCTTCCCTGTGAGGGTGGTGAGGCACTGGCACAGGTTGCCCAGAGAAGCTGTGGCTGCTCCATCCCTGGAAGTGTTGGAAGGCTGGACAGGGCTCTGAGCAGCCTGGTCCACTGGAAGGTGTCCCTGAACTTTAAGATCCCTTCCAACCCTGGCCATTGTATGATTCTATTTATACTTACTTTTCCCAGTCTGTAAAAAAAAGGTTAATACTCAAGGGATTCTATACATTCTTTACAGCAGAAGCATTAAAGGCCTCTTGTTGGTTGTCCTCAGACAGTTTTCCAACAGGCTTCATAGTGAAATTCGGGACTGGGGCTATCTGTTGTTTCATGTTCTTCTTACTGAAATATTCTAAAATATTAGTCAAAATAGAGCCACAGAATATAAATAACTAATGTTCTTAATGAGTCTTATGACTTCCAGGTCTTCCTGCTAGTCTCAGCTTTAGATCTCATTCTGTACAAGAATAATGATCATGGAAACAGTCAAATGTGAACAGGAAATTAGAAGCAGTTGCAAACTGAAGGTGCCTGACTTTGTCATAAGAATGATGGTTGATCTCTTCCAGAACATTATAATAATTTTTATAATTACTGTAACACATTTGCTTTTCAATTTTTTCTCTCTTTTTTTTTGTTTATTCCAAGAAAAGGATCTGTAATCTGTAGTACTATGAGGCATCAATGCAGAGAGAGAAAAAAATACTTTGTAAAACTAGAAAAATGCTTCCCTTAGAGTTTAAACATTGTAAACAGTTGGAGGGTAGTTCAGGAAAGAACAGGTTTTAATACTGCTGTTTAAGCAGAAGCACCAATACATAATATACAGATATATTCCTGATTCATAAATCATCAGGACCTAATCCTGGAAAGATTAATGCTTATCCAATGTTTATTCTGACTGAAGTCGGACAGGTTGCTCGAGTGCATGCACTCAACCCATCTGAGGTCTCTGCAGAGCATTTTGCCTAAGCAGCCTCCCTGTGAATTCAAAGACATGACTCTGTGGTTTTTTGTCCCAGAGATCACTTCATATCACCCAGATGTAGACAGGAACCTGATTGGTTTTGGCTGTAGAAACAAATGCAGTGAAACATGAAAATAGCAGTGTTATGCCACTGGCAGCAAATAAGGCACATCTGCGTGGAATTTAAATGAAATAGAACAACAAACAGATAAAAGAAACAAGACGAAATGAAAATAAGTAAATAAATAAACGTTACCAGTTTTGCAGCATTCTTCTGCAACTTGTAATGTCTGCACCAATCTTTTTAATGAGGACAGTAAGACATATTCCTGTCCCCATATAGACACATTCCTGAGTTATAGTATAGACATTACAAGTGGCACAATAATGTTGAAATTGAGAACACAGATATAAAAATTCATAGAATCATAGAATCATAGAATAGATTGGGTTGGAAAAGACCTCCAAGATCATCGAGTCCAATCCCTGATCCAACTCCAGTTACTGTATCATGGCACTAAGGGCCACATCCAATCTCTGTTTAAAAACCTCCAGGGATGGTGAATCCACCACCTCTCTGGGCAGGCTGTTCCAATGCCTGATATAAAAATTGACAAAAAGTCAAGCCATAAAAGTGAAATTGAGAGGGATTTTACATCACACAAACATGACTCAGTAAAGCATGAGATAATTCTCCATTATCTCAAAGAATTAAAAGAAAACCCATTTATCAGATATATTTCTATGCTTATGGATAGGAAAATCAATATGAGATAGACAATGAGAGATGTCAAAATTCTAGCCTTTATAAGATATATATAATAGATATAAAATATGTACACATATATAAAATACATATATATAATGTATATGCAGGGATATATATATTAAAATATATATTAAAACCAGCACCAAAAGCATTAAATGTGACCTTCAGGAAAGGAAAAATCAGATCCATGACACAGTCAGAATAGTCATGCAGTGCAGAAATAAGAATGGGGTATATGCATGTGATTGATGTCAGTAAAAGTACTTGAGGAAAGCAGGTGTCAGAGTAGCAGTCCACATTAAGAAATCCAAGCTGTGGAATATGAATATTGGAAAGACTGGAAATGGGAGATCAAGGAGGAAGACAGATTCTCATTTTCACATACTTGGACATATAGCCTTTAGGCCATATGTAATTTCAAATTTTTCTGGTACAACAAAATGCAGTGGGAATGGTATAACCATTTGAAATCAGGATAGTGATTATAGTTCTGTATTTATTATCTTAACTAATACAAAGTCTCTTAGATTTGCATTAAACTGGTAATTACAGTTAATGCTGTATAGTACACTCTTGCTCACAGTCTAATGCAAATGAATCCGCTGTCATTTGGAATTCAAGGTAAAATGGGAGCAAGGGAAAATTAACTTTGAGAACCACATTTTGACTCAAAAATAATGCTACCACACTGTAGTCCCCTTTCCCTCTTTGAGCACACTGGAGTGGTAAGAGAACACCAGTTTTGCTCAGAGTGGGAAAAGTACATATGTAAATGGACAACTACTTTTACCAAATTTTACCAACACAGAAGAGAATACTCCAATCAGCTTTTTGTTAAAGTTGTCACCCCCTTTCTTTGTTATGTTATGCTGATGCACCAGGTATACTTGGATCTGTAAAGTACGCTTATTTTAATCACCTTCCATAAAGAGGATAGTCAATGCATATGCTTAGCCATGTAATGCTGAATACACCAAGAGCAAAAGTTGCTGAGAAAGCCTCATTCAGGCTGGGTTGGAGCAAAGGCAGCCCTCTGTTTAACCAGGTAAGCTGGCCTCCAACCCTCCCAGTTACCTGTACTGCAGAGACCACACAAAGTCCCAGCCCAAACTCTCTCAGCCTGCAGTGAACACCCATTCCTCCTTCCCAGCCTGAGCAAGTCAGTCATGGAAGCGTTTCTGAGCTCACCCATCAAGGCCAGTGCTCTGAGGTTGTTTCTACTGCTTTCCTTCTAAACTGGTCAAGGGTAATGAGCCAGGCTACCTCCCTGATTCTCCATCACCTATGGGGCCTAGAAGCCTCCTAGTTAGTCAAGCTTAAGTAAATGCACTTTGTGCTAGAAAAACAGTAAAAATACACCCACTCAGCCTCTAACATTAATATAAAAGTATCACCAAAGCAACAGAGCTAAGCTGGTATCTGTGAAAAATATGTGATGAAAGAGACAACATGTCTTCTTGTGAACACTTGCTGGACCCCCTCCTACCTGTTCACCCAGGCTTCTGGGATGTTATGGGCAGCATAAACAGTGAAGTTGAGCTGGGAATCTAGGCTGATGTCTGCACAGGAAGGGCTTTTGGGTATGCTGGCAAGCTGGAAATTTGCATCAAAGCTGCTGCTGTAAACATGGATGAGACGAGAGATGGCAATGGAGAGCTCAGTCACAGCAGCCTCTATTAACACTGAGAAGAGAGAGAGAAATAAATAAAGGTTAGCAATAGGTCATTTGTGAAGAACCATATTTATCTTAAACCATCAGTTAGAGCTTTGAAATGCTTCCCTAATAAAATTTAATTAAAATGACATAACCTACCAACTGAAGCCAATTAGCCATCTGTGCTTCTGAAAGCAGCCTTAGCTCATTTCTGGTGTATCATTAACAGTCTTTCATTACAGTGCTTTCAAATTAAGGCATTTTCAAAGTAAGCATTTTCAACTACAGCAAGTTAGTGGGTGCCTCAGATATGTCATTTCAGTCTGTGAATTTCTGGGCTGGAAGGATTTTTATTGAGTAGATATTTTTGTGATTTCAGCACTAAGTAGCTACTTACTTCAAGGGAACCGGCAATGCAGCCACAGAGTGGAGAAAAGGCACTGGTTAAATTTTAAGACCATAAGCTGTTGCAACTGTAGGTGAACAATTCACAAAACACACACAATAGCAGCTGCAATCAGACACAGCACTTAAATGGTCATGAACTGGTGGTAACATTACACAACAGTGAGCACTGAAATACACACCCATAGGAGTACATATGAAATGCGAGGTGTACCCTTATTTATATCACACCTTTATTTCTGTTGTTTCCTCTGGCTTCAGCTCTGCAATGCCTTTTTTTTTTTTTTTTTTTTTCTGTGCAATTACTGACTTTTATCTATCTTCCCTCTCTCTGTTTTTGGAGCAGCTTGGGATCACCTGATTACCAGTATAAATTAAAATCCCCAGTCCTGGCAGCCTCCATCGAGTGAAGAGAGCTGTTAAGAGCACTCATTTCTAAGGCAAGGGACAGGTTGAGAGAGAAAGTGTCATAGTACATTATATCATTCCAAGATCAAGATGATTAGTCTTCCAAGAGGAAGACAATTTCACCTTTTTTCACCCCTCTAACTCATGGGTTTCTACATGATCAAGAGCATACTCTCACCACTTGTTACCGCTCCTGACATGCTCCCTAAACTTGTCTGGCCACTGTAGTCAGCAGCCATCTATTAGCTAATAGTGACTATGGGGGGGAAAAATGAAACAACCAAGGAATAGGAAGCCTGAGACATCTATTAGTTTTTATACTTGGAATAGATGCAGGAGTCCTGCCCAGCATCTCATACAGATACCACAATTCACTGGAGTTAGCTATCTCAGTTTCCTGACAGAAATGTGTCCAAAAAACCCTATCCTCAGACTGGAATTTTGTTCTCCTTCTTTGATACCTTTTTCCTTCAAACTAGCAAATACTCAGAATTATTGAGTCACAAAATGCATTGCAAACAGTGCCAAGAAATTACTTCAGTCTTCATTTTATAATTTATAATAGACAAATTTTAACTTTTCAGCAATAGAAATATACACAAAACTGAAATAGTTTGACACACAATGGGGTTTGCTACTGAAAATACTGACAGCAAATTACTGCACACATGAAGGACTGCCTAAAGTACTACAACTTGGTATGTTGTAATCACCTTCCACATAAAAAAACTGAATCATTTTAGAGGTTAAGAAAACTTGGTCCTTTTACTCTCTGTGTATATCTCTCTGTCTAGCACTTGTTTTTTAATTACTTTTTTATTTATTCTCTTCAGTATTTTCACCATTTATCATTCCCCACCATAATTATTTTGAATAAATCTTTTCCTCTAATGATTTTTTTCCCCTAGAATACCATTTCATTCTCATAGCCAGTTCTCTTGAACGTTTAATCACTTATTACCTTCCAAATTAAATGTTTAATTTGCACTGAATTCTTTTACATTCCCAGAACTTCCCTACAGTCTATGTGCAATATAGAGCCTTTAAGAGGTCCAGAAGAGGACATCAGCTGACTATTATTTGAACCAGTACTTCCTACCTTATCTGAAAAGTACCAAACTATTTACATTTAGAGCAAACAGCTACTTGGAAGATTCCCAGTCTCCAAGCTGTTCAAAGTGGCTGACAGGTAGATATGGTGTGACAGCAAAATCCCTATTTATGCAAATTGGCCTATTGAAGCAATGATTGTTGAGTGGAACCTTCCCAGCGTTTTCTCCAAAGGAGGGTATAAAACGTAGTTCAGAATCTGTGGAAACAGTTTTAATACAATCCATATCATAGGATTTAAGGCAATGAATCAAATTTTGTCTCCAGAACAAGAAGAAATGTATTATATCTCAGCTAAGCCACAGAAAGAAGGGAATACTCCATGGGCAAAGGATTCTCAAAAAGGAAAGTCAGGAGAAACATACACAATAGGTTATTGTCCATAATATAAAATTTACACATGCCAGGCAAGGAATTGTATAAGATGCAAGATGCCTATCACTATGTCCAAGCTATCTTGTCCATTGACCATGTTTGCAGAAAAACTACTCTCATGATTTGCCTGTTACCAAACGGAATGTTAGATACATAAAAATGAGCCAAGCAAACGAAAACAAACAAAAAACTCAACAAACAAAATAAAAACCACCAAAACTGAGGGGCAAATTTTGAGTTAATCATTTATAACATGCTTCTATCTGGCAGTGATGAGGTGCAAAAAGTTTTCTGGCTGTCAGAGAACTGCCCACTGTGGGGAGATAGGGCAAGGTTAAAAGTCTTTAATTAGCTGCAGACAATGTCCATGAGACTCTCTGCTGAAGGGAGCTGGGAAATGTTATTCCTTTCCCTCTATCAAATTTCCATCTGTCACTTGAGGGCTTGCAGGCTGCAGAAATGGAGTTAGTCTGGACACAGGGCTTGAGACTGGAACTACAGGCTGACTCCTGCTATAGTGGCATGGAAGGGGTAAAGACAGAAATGGAACAATAAGGGGCAATTGGTTCAGCTGCCAGACAAGGGAATCAAATGAATTTCAGCATTATTCATCAAATCATTGGGAGATACAGAAGGAAGATAACCTCAGGAACAGAGGTCCCAAGGTATAAGCAAATGTTCATGTACAACCTGGTCTTCACCTCCAGGATTTTTTTCAACATTCATTTTCTCACTCATGTTAGCCTCAGTTTTAAAAAACTCAATGGTTTCTGTGCCTGAGCCAACTCTTTTTCAACCCCATTCTTCACTCATTAAGACCAGTAGCAATTAACTAAATTAGAGACAAACATCTTGGGTAGGCTGTAAATGTCCATTACTCATAAAACTTGGTCAGCGTCTTTCCACTGTATTTTTATGAGCTGCTGAATAGGATTTGGTAAACTGAAATTATATCGCCCGTTCATGAAGCCAAAGAACTTTAGTGGGTTTTATAACTTTTATGATTAATAAATCTCAGATGAGAAAAGACTATGGTGTTTCACTGATTTACATAGCACAGCCTATGGACTTCCTACAGCAGATTCACAGCTGCAGCTGTGTCAGAACTTATTTTCTAGAAAGGTGTCCCAGGCATAGCCAGTAGGGAGGAGACAATGAAGAGACCACATATCAAAGTGAACTGTGACCAAGATGAATAATCTCACAGCTCAAACCTCGTAATTTACTTATGGTGTGAAATTATTTGCCATCACCTTCTCACTGAAGGTGAAAAGAAATCAGACTTGCAGAAATGAGACGAGAACAAGGGAAGTGAACTTTAACCACAGCTGCCAGATATGCTTATTTCTGACACACTCCTTGTACAAGAAGTCTGAAGGAATAAATTTCACCCTTGGTCAGAAACAGAACAATCTGCACCATCCCTAAAAGTGTTAAAGAATATACGTGAAGGTGCTTTCAAGACTTAGAAAGGAATTAGTGTATTTCTTACAGAAAACCACTTATTTTCTTCTTTTCAGTCCCGTATTACAATTCATGTTCTAGTGCCAGACCATCCAATGGGGCAGGTAATTTGCTGTTACTGCACCAGCAGATGATGTCAATTCATTACATGTTAAACACTCTCTCCGACTCTGTACATGTTTTGTCTGGTTAAAACATGACAAATATCTGGTTGAACAGAATTTGGAATGAAAGCTTAAGACCTTTCTGACACATTAAAAAATATTTTTGAGAAACGGAGCTTGATGTTTTTCTTTCCAGCTTGTTTTCAGAGAGAAAAAAACCAAGATCTTGAATACAATTTATGTCACACACACATAGACTCCTCCCACCCCCCACAAAGACAAACAAACAAAAAACCAACTGGAAAAGACCCCCTAACATTTCAGTCAAGTGCTAAGCAGTATTAACTAGATCACTGTTGTAGTAAGAAAGAGGAAAAACCTGAAAAGTCTTTAATGCAAATAGTGATAAGATGCAGCTTCCAATATTTACCATTCTGTTTCTTCCTACTAGTTGAAGAGTCCTATGGATTATCCCTTGAAAGTAACTTAAAAATCTGCTGTCCTGCTATCAAAAATGTCTCTGCTCCTATACACTTTATAAGGCCTTCTGCCTAATTTTTCTGAAGAACTAGGGGGTTGCAATTATTTAAAAATTGGTCTTGATTAAAAAGCCTCGGGCTTTAAGAACAACAAATCAGGATGCAACACAGCGACAACTTAAGAGGTGAAGAGCAATGCTCTGATTTGAAAACAATGCAGGAGAGACACATACAGAGATGAAATGCAATCAATAAAACCCCTTGACATTCTTCCACATTGCAAAACAAAAAGTGTTTTTTCCAAAACAAAAATACAATGGGTTTGTGCTAAGAAAAGAAGGATGTGGAATTTTCAACTTTAAGGAAAACCTTAAAACAACTTTCATTTTCCCCTTTCTTCCTTTTTCTAATTTTTACAACTTTCTGTTGTGAATATTTTTATGACCAGGTCTAGAAGCAACTATCAAATCCCAAGTACAGTTAGAGAACCTTTACACTCCTTAAATGTAATGCTGACTTCATTGTTAACAATACATTTCTGCATTTGTTCAAAAAAATAGTGACTCCAGCAACTGAGTTGGAAAAGACTGCTGTTCCTGGTGCATAGTAGACTTTCTGGACGGGTCCCAAAGAACTACTAATCAAATTCCAAAAGCTGCTTATTATGTCTGATCTGGTGAAATCCCTGCCCGAAGTAGCAAGGTTCTAGACACTGAATAAACATTCATTCATCAGCTTTTGAGAAACACGTGCAGACTCAGTTTTGGACCATCATGCAGTCTTTTCATACTCTGGATTGCAGCAAACTCCAGTGCTAAATATCTATTAATGTAAGTAATCTTAGTCTCTATTTTCTGTGAACACTTGATGCTGCAGAAGGTTCTAATGTCTAGAAATGCCTATAGTTCCTCATATTTAAGAAGAAATAAAATGTATTTTAAGTACTAAAACAATATAATCTTCTAAGGACTCCACACAGAGGAAAAAGAACATGATCCAGACTCAGGCATAACATGGATAGGTACTGCTTTATTCACAGCAATGGAATAAATTGTTCTACAGAGATAACACTCTTAATAGAGGCAGTTATTGCAACACTAAATCAAGGCTACATATTCTGAATATAGTCATTGACTTGCTTAGTCCATGGTGAATGACTAATAATAAACCTCTGAAAATCTTTTATTAGAGGGTAAGACTAAAGCAGTTTCTAAACAAATTATTAAATAAAGTTTTAATTTTAATAGTATCCTCTATCTTTTCCTCTTTTCTGGTAGGTAATAACTACCACTGGGAGAAAAAAGAGAGAAGGTAAAGGAAATCCTTAGTTGGAGTAACTGACTGTAGCTCTTGCTGTTCAAATTTGATCCTGTTTTCTTCATGATAAACATGAATACCTAAGAGACAGAAAAGAACAGTACAAATGGGAAATGCAGTCTGTCTCCTCCTTGGCTGTCAACACTGACTTCACCTGCAACTGTGCTTGAGAAAGCCAAGCACTTAGGTTTTAGTTTCCCAGAGATCTGGAAAGATTTACCAGCACTGAGCTAAGGCAGTGATTTTCCTTTTACTTTGGGTCATAGGCTTGCAGATTTTTGCATGTTTGCAATCCTAGACAGTTAAGTCTGATGAAGTAAAAAAAAAAAAGGGGTGGGACACAAATGTGGTGGAAAAGGAAACACAAAAGTTATTTCAGTAGGAATATACACCTCTTAGTTTTTTACTTCTAGCTTCAGCAGGTGAGAATATCATCTAGATTCCTGTCAGGCTCAGTGTCCCTTGATCAGTGGATGGGAGGCCCCATGGCATTATCATGAAGGTTAGCACTGAGAAGACAGGAACTAAAGAAAGCTTGTCATCCCCAAAAGAAAAGCTGTGTAATTTGGCTTTGCCCACTTCTTGAAGGTCGGGCCTAGGTTCCAGCAGATCAGTTTTGGTCATTGCACTCACACTTTGCTTTTCTCAGACACTATCTTAACACCAGCTTTGATATGCTAGCTCATTAGCCTAACCTTAAATATTACGCTGACTTTTAGAAATGTATTAAATAAGTGCAGATGTCGAGCATATAGGATGTTAAAACATACACAGAATGTACATCAGCGCATGTGAGAGGGCAACTGGAAATTTGGTTACCTTGGACAACTTTGAATATAGACTTCTCTACAGAATGACTAATGGCCTGGCAAGTTCTGGCTTGCAATCAGTAAGTTGTAGTTTCTAATATTACACTACCAAAGGGATTCTGCAACTGTTTTGAAATTAGGGTGTGCCAAGAACAGAGAAGCATAACACTTCACAGTGGAAGGTTTCCTGACACAAATAAATAGCTACAGAGAAGTAAGGAGTAAACACTGAATCCTTTACTGTTATTCAGTGAATCAGGTTTTCCTTGGGGAAGCTCCTGATTCAGTGGAGTCCAAATTGGGAAATATCCTTCAGTAGAGGAATGTTTTAGATCCTTTCCAGTCAGGTTTTCCGAACAGTGTGCAGAGGAAGATGTTTCTAAGGTAGACGTTGATTAGTAACTATTCACTCTTTCATCAGAAGCAATTAGTTCCCATCAAGAATTTAAAAAAATTCACAGGATAAAGGACCATATCCAATGGAGAAGCATCTGACAAACTGTATTTGCCTTCTCCCTTCTGCACCTGCATGTTCTCTCCTCACTCTCCTGGCCCTACAGCTGCTTAGCTTTTCCTGGCAGCTTACAAATGTAATTCCTGTTTCTTTTTTTTTTTTTTTTTGCTGTTCACAAAGTTGAATAATGCTGAAACAACAAGCCTGGCATTTGGAAACCTGCATTTGAACCACCTCTGTGGTTTGAAAGGCTGCTGCAGTCTTTGTGGCTGGCTCACCTTTTCGCCTCTCTGAGCACCCTGCAGTTGGAGAAAAGCACACAGAAGAAAGAGAGAAAAAGAGCATTTCACAGGCCACCTTTTTCCTAAAACGAAATGGAGAGACCAAAGTTCCTCAGCACATCCCAGCCTACCCCAGTGCTCAGCTGGAGGGACCTCTGACAGCACCCTTGTTACACTCCCCGCTGCAGGAGGTCCTGTAGAGCAGGACCCAGTGTGGCAGGAGCCCTGACGTGGGTGAGCCCTCCTGGAATCCAACCCATGACAGAACAGACTCCTGCTCGTCCCTTGGTCTGTGAGGTGCTTCACAGTAATGCTAACAGTGCTGGGCATCAGCCAGTCAGTCTGAGGAATTAAAGAAGGAAGGGTCTAGGATTTTGTTCATTACTGTTATTTAACCTGCTCCTCTTATGACAGTCTATCATTAGGCAAAACACTATTTATACAACTAAACACCAAAAAGAACTAAAGCTTAAGAAGGGAGGAAGGAAAGTTATTGGAGCCAAGTGGAAAAGTCATATAGAAAAGTAATTTTTTAAGCTTCCATGAATTTCATTATTTTTCCTTTTCTCCATATGAAAAGCTGGAATTAAAGAGAACTGCCATGACTACCACTTACTGTAATCAGTTATTTCACTCCATATTTCATTCTCCATATTTGAGTGTCCAGATTAGTTTTTGTAAATGCTCTTTTATTTACACTTTTAACTTGCCATAATTACCTTAAAATACAACTAAATATGTAAATGTCAGCAATATGCCAACTCTACCAGTTCAGTAATACAAACAAACAGCAAAATGTGTTTTCTGATGATATACCTTGAATTAACATATTTTTAAAATAACACTTTACCTTTGCTGGATGTTTCCACACTTTGAAGTGAATCCTATAAAGACAAAACCAGAGGGGAAAGAAGTAATTAGTTACTTCAGAAAAGACCAGGTAGCAGTTATAGTGGTTATAGGAGTAGTGCTTGTGGAAAATAAGGTGAAAATGGGGAAGCACATATTTTACAGTTACAATGACAGAAGACATGACTGGGATTCACAGTAGCAGGACCTCCTTTATCCAGCTCTTCCATCTGCTTCCTCTACCATCTCAGACAAGTCACTCAGGACCTGGTTTCTGACAGCATTTGGGTATGCCAAGAGAAAAAGAAGCACTTATCAACATTAGAGGTGCATACACATTCTCAGCCTCCATGTTGGTATAACAGAGGAGAGAGTTCCCTCTCCATCCCTTTGCATGCCTTACACATTCAGACGTGAAGCCCAAACCATGCTGAGTGAGCAAAGCCTCAGCATCCTTTCAAAGCTGAGGAGCAACAAGTCTCCACTCAAGTGCCCTTCATTTCACCTACATTCCTGTGCCAAATCATCAAAAATATCCATGCTCTTCAGTGGCCTTTGAGCAGGTAGCTGACCAAGGGCAGCCAACAAGAAATACTAGACGTGGGGATTTAGGGGGTGTTTAGGCCCTTGGTCCCTAAACACAGTCCCTTGATACCTAACATTAAATCAAAATCTAGATTCCCACCTCTCATATCCCATTGAAGTCAGCAGGAACTTGTCTGCTTGTCTGCTGAAAGGTCAGGCCAGTTATTTAGATTGAACTGACCAGCCTAATTAAAGTTTTTGTTGTTTGGGGTTTTTTTTGTTTGTTTGTGTGTGGGTTTTTTTGTGGGTTTTTTGTTTGTTTGGTTTTGTTTTGTTTTAATGCTGCTCTATTTAATCCCCAAGCACAATAACTGCCATCAATCAGACCTTGCTCTGGCCAAAATTAAATATTGTGACACTGCTTGTACCTTCCTGTCCACAAGGGAAAAACGGTCATGGCAGGTAGTTCTGCATCTCCTGGCAGCACCATCAGCCCTGGGGCCACAGGTGGGACCCAGCCTTGGCCCAAAAGGCAAGTGTGGGCACAGCCTCCCCTGCCTGAGCACCGGCTGCTCGGTCTGCCCCATCTTCACCTGGCTATAACATGAGTCAGCAGTGCCCTGGCAGCCAGGAGGGCCAACTGCGTCCTGGGGGGCATCAGGCAAAGCATTGCCAGCCGGTCCAGGGAGGGGATTGTCCTGCTCTGCTCTGCACTGGGGCGGCCTCACCTTGGATACTGTGTGCCATGATGGAACTTTTGGGTGCCACGATATAAGAAAGACATAAAGTTATTAGGAAGTCCAAAGGAGGGCTCCAAAGATGGTGAAGGGCCTCGAAGGGAAGCCATATGAGGAGCAGCTGAGAGCACTTGGTCTGTTCAACGTGGAGGAGACTGAAGGGAGACCTCATTGCAGGTACAACTTCCTCGTCAGAGGCAGACACTGATCTCTTCTTTGTGATGACCAGTGATAGGACCTGAGGGAGTGGGCTGAGGTTGTGTCAGGGGAGGTTTAGGTTGAATATTAGAAAAAGGTTCTTCACCCAGAAGGTGGTTGGGTACTAGAACAGGGTCCCCAGAGAAGTGGTCAAAGCACCAAGCCTGACGGAGTTCAAGAAATATTTGGACAACACTCTCAGGCACATGGCGTGACTCTTGTGGATGGTCCTGTGCAGGGCCAGGAGTCAGACACAACGATCCTTGTGGATCCCTTCCAACTTATGATATTCTATGACCAGACCTGCATCTACCAAAGTGACACAGAAATAAGTTACTGAGTGACAAATCTTGACTAGAGAGACTAGAAAGTTAATTCTGTATTTCAGCATTGCTCGTGGCTTTTGCTGTTTGAACTCACGTACCTGAAAGGTTTACTGTCCTCTACAGTCATTAATCTCTTTGCAGTGGGTTGAGAATGCTTCATGTTAGTACACATGTATTCAGCATGATGCTTCTTAAAAATTACAGTGCATGCAGAGGTGGCATAAGAAATACAATGCTGGATGCACATTCTCCCTTTGGCACCCAGCTTGGAGCTGCAAGCATTTGTCTGGTAAACATGAACAGAAGAAGTCAAATGCTTACTTAAGGGGAGAAAAGCAACATCCAGGCTGAGAATTATGTTTTCACAATTTTTATAATGCAGGGAGACAAATGGGAACAGAGACCTTTGTTCAATTCTCGCAAATTTTGGAAAGTAAACAACCTTTTGGCACAGCACTTGTAATTTCAACATAATGTAGCCTGTTTAATATATAGTGGATTAGTGCTTGTTCTGGCAGGATTTGATCTCCTAGGACTTTTTGTGAGCTGCTGTAAAAAAAGGAAGGGGAAAAAAAAGAAAGATAAAAAACTTTAATTGTGCATCAGGCACAGAGTCTCCCCGGAACGGATTTTAAAATCCCAGGTTAGGTTGGTTCGAGACCGAATGAATCACATTTATAAAGAGATGCAATCAGTTAAGAAGAAACTATCACTGGTGCCAGTTACTTTCATAATCTCTTAACCATGGTACAGGAATGCACAGCACTGGCAGTGAGGAGGCAGTAAGTACAATTTAATTAAACACAGAAGATTGAAAGTAAGTTTCTCTGTTTTTCTTCCCCCCTCCCCCCCATAAAACCAGAATTAAATAGAAGCACATTGAAATTTCTTTCCAAGTATGCAAGCACACATGTACAGATACGTATAAACAAACACATGCTGGCACCCTACATAATTTACATTGGAAGAACTAAGCAGTGGTTTCCCTGAGGCATTATGAGCACACATGCCAAATGGATGTGTTAAAAAGTATTCCACGCAAAACCACACCATATATTACCCTAAAGCATCAGGAAACTACAGTAAAAAAGCAATTAGAATTTTTTTTGGCATTTCTCCTTTACCTGATGTGCAATGCTGCAGCACTTGGAATGCAACAGGTAACCTCAAAAATGTCACTTAACTTGTGGTGCAAGTTACCTGCTTGCCTGAAAAAAAGCCTCTCTTCTACCTAAAAAAATGCTTTGGTACTATGTTGATGGACACAACAGAAACAATTCAAGCAATCTGACAAGATACATTAATATTGCAACATTTAATAATTTTGTCAGTGCCCATATTCACATACCTTGACCCTATAATTCGAGTTTAACTCAAAAAGAGGTTTGGAGAAGTCGTACTCCATGAAACAACTAGCTGCTAAGTACTAATTTTGATTACATGTGTTGCTACAGACAGGAAATCTGGTCAATTGTCTGGATAAATATTGATAAATATAGATACAATCTGATTTGTTACACTTATGTTCTATTCTATACATGAGATAGCTGCATATAATGTGTAACCTCTATTTTCATAAAATGGAGGTGTTCAAGTTACAAAACACACAGAAACATTCTTGACTGCTTTCATGACGTTTACAGTTCAGTTGCTGAGAAAGGTGAAGTTCCTTATAGACTCAAACCTGAACATTTTCTAGACTGTTGCAGTCTAATCGACTGTCCTAGCAGCTATTTCTCAAAGGAGTAAAAGGCAAGCAGCAGTAACAGAGTTTGCTGGTGCGGGAATAGTTGGACTTTCTTTTTTATCCCCCTGCACTCATTTGAAGCCAGTTGTTAGTCAAGTCTGGTTCAGCAAAGAGGGAGTAAGAAGGAACAGCGTGTCAGTAAAGGTCACAGGTAGCTTTTACAGGAAGGCTTCAAGAGAGAGACAACCAGTTCAGCTAACCAAGCCTGAAAGGCAATGTTAAGGGAACAAAACCCCAGTAACTTAAAAACTCTAAAAAATGAGTAACAATCTAGTCAGTAGTCTTCAAGACAAACGTAGAGCAGCTTCTTACTGAATATTAAGACAGAAAAATATTTTAAGAATGTTCAATCAGGACACAATCTTTTTAACGTTCACAAGAGGGTATTCAGGAACAGTATCATTTTGCTCATTACAGAGAAGCAAACAGCATCATTATCATCACCACCACCACCACTTATTATTTTAGCCTTTGGAGATCACAGCCAGGACAATCACTCTGCTGTGCTGGAGCCTGTATACATAGAGAAGGAGAGTTGTTCCTTGCTCTGAAGGGCTTATAATCTAAATAGGGGAAACAGAAAAAGGAAAGTGTATTACTCCCTCTGGGCAGGGAAGTACATGAAGTTGGTTCAACAGAACCTGTATATATTGGAGACTGTGTATATAGTGGAGTTGGAAATTTGACATGTGCTGGAGAATGAGCAACAGCTCACAAAGACCAGGGCTTTTTATTTGTTTGTTCTTGTAACAGGATAGATAAGCTCATAATTCAATTATTTGCCTAGTAGTAATCACTTCATCTCTAAAATAATTCTGAATAACACTGATTCTGAAGACAATCAGAAGCAACCATGAACAACAGAAACCTAACACTTGAAAAAGATGACCTGTACTCTTTGTTTTTTAGCTTATTATCTTATTCTTTGTGACATGACATGGGGTTTTCTGACTGTTCAGGACAAGCCACACTAATAGGAACTGATTTGGATCTTGGACCACTGTATCTATTTCTCTGCTCTAGTTCAGAGAGGATGGGGATATGCAATAAATATAAGCCAGTCATAGGAGGCAGTTTACACTTTGAGTTCACAGAGCTGACCTGAACACTCAAAGAGAAAATACACTAAATTTTTCTTACCTCAAAAAAGCCCAAAAAACAAAAAACCAACTTTTAGCAAATTAGTCCCAATATATTTCTTCAGCTCTCTCCTTTCGACAGGAAAGCTTAGTTGATGTCCTTTCTATCTTTTAACTGGACCCAGCTCTTTATCTCTCTCTCAAGAAAGATTCTGTGTTGGCAAAATACTTTTCTGAAGGAGAAAATGCTGATCATCCTCATGCTTGTCAGGACAGTTTGGAGTCTAACTGAAAAGCAAACCACATGAATCCCTTGTTACTTCTTTTATCTCTTTTTCTACTGTAGTGCTCTCTCATACACAGCAAAAACTTTCTTTCAGTGGAGATATACTTATTTCCTTTTAATTCCACAACATGCCACATAAAATGTGTGCTGCACAGACCCTTTTATGCAGGAGTTTATCCCCAATAGCAACTTCTAACAATTGAATGCTGAAGCAGACATGAAAAGATTTAGGAGGTACTACAGAAACAAGACTTACAGTAAGTCACGACCTAGAAGGGAAGCAAGAGAAGACATTTAAGTGAATCAGATGGTCAGGTCTGAACAACAAACAAAAAAAAATATCTACAGCTATGTTGTTTCTTGAAGCTTGGTCCTTCAGAACACTTGCCAACCTTCGGAGAGACAGCACCCATATCACCAACACCAGAAGGCCTCAGCTGATTCTGCCCAGAGACATGCAGCATCAGCTCTGCGGAATCTGTGCCTCTGCTCCACAAACACGGTGCAGGGACTTACCTACAATTTACTTACACCCAGACCTGCAGAGAGCTACACTGATGCTGTAGAGGCTATCTGCTTGGGTCCTGTACTTAAGACTGGAAGCTGTTCCCTCCCCCTGACTCCATCTCAGGGGAATAAACAGAGGCTACAAATGCAGAGATTTAAGAAAAGATGTTTTCTGAACATCTCTGGAGCCTTTTCAACTAATATACTTTCTGCTCGTTGGGAAATCTTTTCACCTCCCAGGAAGAAGTTTTTCTCTGTATGATGATGAGTATTTGAGGGTTTGAACCTGCTGAGAGTAAGTGTAGATAGACAACAGTATAGAATTGATTTGATATGTATCACTCCTATGGCCCAAGAAATGTTGTAAAAAGAATTACACTAATTTTTTCCAGTCTTACTGCATATCAGGCATAATTAAATTCCACTTATTTAGCTAGACATGTTTCCAATTAACTCTCATTAGTTAATTCAGTTAATACTAATTATCTCATTGTTTACTTCGCCGTCATAGGTGTTCTTACACATATCACAAGCCAGGAGAAAAAAAGAAAACAAAATCAAAACCAACAAATACTAAAGAAAAAGAATAAAAGTTTTGTAAGGAGGTAATGTTCTGAACACAAACATCCCATCTAGTTTGGCATGTTTTTCTAAATAGTCTTTGCTGTGAGAAAGAATGACAAAAGATCATGCAAGGAAAACAGAAAATTTCTTAGTAACTTAATCTTTTTTTAGAAGTGCGAAGAGGGAATTTCATTACTGTTTGAAAGAATTAGCATGACTTATGATTACACCAGACTAAATCCAAGTGATTAATGGCTTAATTTTCAAATTTGCTGAGCACCTGCATCTTCAAGATGCTGACTTAAAAAGAATTTTTGGGTGCTCAGAACTTGTGTAAATCAGATCATAGTGACTTGTCCAAGGTCATACCAAAGCAGCTGATGATGACGAAAGTGAGAACAGATACTGTCCTCCAAAGTCCCAGCTCATAAACTGGAACAAACAGGAACGTTCCAGAAACTCCTGGAAAACCCATTTTTGTGTTTTAAGAGTATTTCAGCTCAAATCAGTAGTGCATGATGCTAGTCCTTCTCTGCATAAACAGCAGAAACATTTCAATCTGAAAAACCCTCAAAATTCAAGTGACATTTACAAGAAAAAAGTTTGGAGTATACTTTTAATTTTGTTAACAACTTATATTAAAATATAAAAGTCTAATATTTCGAAATCACGATTTGGTAAATAGGTGATGTGGCAAGGCAGAGATTTATATGTTCAGTAGGAACTAGAAAGAAGAACCAGAGGAGAATATCAGTTACAGTTAAACACAAAACAAGTCTTCTGTTGCTCTCGTGTCGCACATTGTCAACATTCTTTTCTTTCTTTGCAGTGCCTCTTACCTAATATTTGTCAAAGGCAAAACACACAGCGAGACAGTAAAGTGGACTTGATCAATCAAAAAATTAGTGACACCCATTCCAAGTTTCAGTTTTAAGGAGGAAAAACAGGACGTCAACATGCATCTTTTACCTGTGCTTTCACAAGTGGCAATGCACGGAGTTTCTTGACTGCATCAGTTATGTCTCTGGTTTCCACAAAGCAGAGGACACTGCAGATTGCTTTAGCTGCTTCAATCACATTATCAACTTTATGCTGTTGACAGCAAAGAAAGATTAAAAAAAAAAAAAAAAAAAGGCAAACAGTAGACTGATAGCATTTATCAGAAATGCCTAACCATAACCTTTAAGCCAGTGAGTGCGTAGAAAACTGTATCTGCTCAAGCAAAATTCAAATACACCATGCATTAGTCTGGCTACACTGAAATCCCCAGTGACCAACAGTTCCCTAAGGAGACTGTAAATTTTGTTGAAGTCGAATTATTTTCCACAAAACGTGCTGTGTTGAAAACTGCAAGAAATCTGGTAATAAAGACTGATTTGAAGGCCAAAACACTGGTTTGTCTGAATGTCACGAGTGTAGAAGCACTGTAAAGAAACTTCTGAGGAAGCCTGAACACAAGTTATTCACAAGCTTTCTGAGGTTTTATGATTCTGTGAATTTATCCTCACTATTGTCTCCTACCCATCTCTGTGAGAGCTGGAAAACAGCCATGTTCCTCCTAAAAATAGTGACTGTGTGGGAGGCTGCATAATCTGACACCTGTGGACTGAGTACTTCTGCAACCAGCTTTCTGCAAAAATATACATATAGTTAAAACTATTAAATCCTATTGATCATAAATTTAGATCTTTAAATATTACCATATGGAAAAAATCTCTAGAAGAATAATCTTAGAAATACCTTGGGGAATTCAAGGAAAAAAAATTTGGATCCCAAAGGAAGGAAAATGCAATCTTCAAATATCAAGTACTCTATGTTCAGGAAAATAAATAAAGAAATAAAAATTCATGGGTTTCCTGTATAGTTATATCACTTCATTAAACCTTAAAATACATTCTCTGAACACACAGAAGCTCTCCTATAAATATTCTCCATGTTTCTGTACTGATAAATGTTCCTTAGTGCACTACAGCATGTCTACATACTGATAAAATCATTTCTCTAACTCATCCGTTTCATGCCTGAAAAAGAAAAACTGTACCAAGATGAACTTTCTGGTTTCAAGCTTAAGGTTTTATGTGTAGACTGTACTGAGAAGGCTAACACCTGTCATTAACACAAATAAATACAAAAATATATTGAGGTTACTAATTCCACATTATCTGCCTCGAGCAGAACTAAAGCAGGAATGAATTACATAAAATATCCTCAAATATTTGCTGATCAGATTCTTTTAAATATAAGTCATTGTTTTTTTAGTAATTAAGGACAGCAATGCCTTTTCATACTACAGGTTCTAGAGAGGAAAAGGTTATGGCTGACTGTGATCTCTTGAGAACTTCGGACTCTCCTTTGGTTGGCTGTTCTACCAACTTACAAAGAGGATATTTCCTTTCTTTTTTATTTCTTTCCTACCACGTAGATTTTCATAACTGAACTCTTGCAGGATGTACTCTCTGTGCACGCATATATTGCCAGCTGAAGGAGAGACCAATAAAAATGGCATGGCTTTACTACTCTGTGTAACACTGACAAACCCAAAGCATTATACATGCTGGTTTACTCTGAGCTGTCGAAGATATGTGTGTCTGTCAATCTACCTATTTAAACACATGTACAGACATATATTTAATTATAGTATATACAGTTTGTAATGAATATTAAATATAGTTCTAAATTAGCATTTAATTGAAATACATTTTAATTTAGCATTTTTCTTTTTCACAGGTGGGATTATGAGAACAAGGGATTTTATGCCCATAAATACATTTATGCAGGGTAATTTCTGAGCAGTACACAAGCAATGGACATACACGAAAGTAATCCTTGAGCAGAGAAACAGCTCTCTGGATAGAGAGAAATAAAAAAAAAAAATATTTAAACCAAACCCACAGCTCATATAGTTTTGTGCATATATATACGATTCCATAAAGAGGGCTGGTTATCTTGAGGGATGTATCAATTTCTGTTTAATATGCTATTTCCTTTATAGATAAATTATCAAGGACTTAATATTTATAGAAGATGGTATACTATACACACTGTTTTTATGGTAGGTATTTCTACAGAGCATATTGCAGATGAAAGAGGGTAAATATATTTTAAAAATTATGTAATACTGTATAATATGAATGATGACTTCTTTCACACTGTTTCTCTGTTGGGACATTATCATGCAAAGAGTTTTCCTTTTTCATATGTAGAGTAGGACATCGATTTCTGTCCCAAGGAAGGGAAGACAGAGATTAATTTCTTACAGAAGTTTCACATCTTCTGAAATTCCAATTACAGTCAACAACTCGTAATTTCTTTTTTTTGCCCCTACATATTTAAATACCAGCAGAACCTTAGAAAGATATTTTGGTGTTTCAATTATTTATAAGATTAAAAAAATGTTACTTCATTCTAGACCTTCTACATTCTGTATAAAAAATTTACTAAGTCGTTGCTACAGCAATAGTACATTCTGAATAGCTTTGGAAATGAAGTGCATGTCAAGTGGTTATCAGGGCATTTAAAATGGTTGGTTGTTTGGGAACACTCTTTACATTTCAACCATAACAGCACCAATCCCCTCCCTGTGCCAAATACCTTAATTTTTGTTTTATAGAAGCATTATCCATCTTAAAATGAATTTTCCATTTATTTACCATTATTAGTAATGACAGTGGGCTTGTCACATAATTCAGAAGTATTAGAAGTCTTTGAACATGAAAATTCAGAAATACGCAGATGAATGTGCAAAATACTGTTGATTTGGTTTTTTAACTGAGAATCTCAAGATCTGTCTGATTAAAACCAGTGCTTAAGGGACTTCCAGCTGAGTACAGAACTTCAGCAGGTATGTGCGTACTTAATTTGGTACATATGAGTAACTCCCACTGGCTTAAATTTCAGTGTGTGCTGAGGGTGGGTTGTGGTGAATCAGAGAAGGGTAACAACCACCCCAGTGATGTGAGTGATGCTTTCAAAATCGACATAACTGCTCCTGTGCAGCCTTGGGATATGGGGCAGTTAAAAGATCCGAATTTTAAACCTTCTTCAAGGGATCTAGTAAGAAGTTAGAGAAAATAAATAAACAAGGATTTAAAGACCAAAAAAAGAGCGCTCAATTTTTGCTTTCTTTACTACATATTTGTAAGTTGCTACATTATAGCTCCATAATTTTTTAGCCACTTTTTAAACCAAATCAATAACACTTACTCTAATTATTGCAGGTTTGAAAAAGCTCCATATGCTGATGCTTCTAAATGAAAACATCTGCATGTTGATCTGACCCATATAATTAATTTGCAATACTGCTCTTTTAAGCAATTCATATGAACTTTATTGAGTGTCCCAGAGAAGGCAAGACCTTATTAAAAAAAATGAACTACAGAGAAATTTAGCTCTAGACACACACATATTTGTTGGATAGTATGAATATTTGAAAAATGTACTTCCTTCCCTTTATAAAAAGTTAATGATCTCAAGAAATTGCTTACTCAAGGTAAAAATCTTAAGGAAAAACAAATTTGAGAGTGCTTCATTATAGGTCTGAGGAATATCTACACAGCGTCAGCTGCAGAGGGTGGATTGCAAAGTCTCATTAATGTTGAGGTTACTGCCTTCTTTGAATTTAGAATCTTCTTACTTTAGGCTCTAAAATTTCAAGTGAATGTAAATAACTACCCTGATGGGTCTGCTTCAGTAAGGAAATATATATGCACATTTGAGCTTGGGGACCTCAATTTTCCAAATGGTTATGGCTGCAGCACATTTTATACACTAAATACTCTCCTTTGAGACGTTGCTTACAAAGGAAAATTCAGTGGATACCTACACAGTTATCAGACCCAGAGCTTTACTTTGTGGTAAGGCACACTTCAAAAGCTTCTGAATTTGCATGCATTTTGAAAAAGTACCAAAGATTTACATAAAAATATAGATTTTTTTTTATGTCTATATATTTAGTTACACACTTATTGATATATATTTATGTATTCATGTACATGTGCATTCATATATGTATATGCATGTATACATACATTTGTATGCAAGTGTATGTTTTCTGACTATTCAAAATAGAAATACCCATGAATCAAGAATATCCAGAGAGATTAAAATCTGGACTTAAATATCTGTGACAGAGTCTTAAAAAAAAAATAATGATTTTATGTTTTAACACATATTTTAAAGAAATCCATAATTTAGCAAAATGAATAACAACTCTGCAAGGGATGCACTGGAATATCTCTGTGCTCCATCGATATCCTCTGATTTTACCAACATCTTTTGTTTTCTTTCTAGTTTTAAACCCTTGAAAGTCAGTTATAATGACAATCTGAAATTCAGATCAAATAACCATGTGGTTTCTTCCAAGGTGTGACTCAATTTTTCCTTTAGACATTTGTCCTTAAAACACTGGTTAGCAGAGAAGATTTCTTGAGAGATTTTTCCTTTAAGGATGTAGCATTCAATTGGCAGCCCACAATGCTTTAAAATAAAAGCTCTTGGGAGTTTTTCTGCCTAAACCTAATCCTTCAAAGTATCACATGCTTGCATATATATCCTAAATATGTAAACATTAGGCTTGTGGATTTGAAAATCAGGGACAAATTTTGCAGACACATATAATGCATTGTACCTCTACTGTTTTCAAATATTACTCTGTCAACCCAAATGATCCTGGTTTTATTTACAGGTTCCTTGACACTTAGAAACAGTCACCTTTGGTTTAAATTTGTAGCACCTTCTTCCTAACTCCAAGCCAAGTTTTATTAAGAGAATTTATACCCTTTCAAAGTCGGATTAAGCAGCCTTAATTAAAAGTCTTTCTTAATTGCATCTGAGGCTGATTAATAATTAGATACCTTTCACATAGAAGTTAATGCTTTTCTGGTATAACAAACTGAGAACAAATACCTCATTTTGCAACAGATATTCCACTTGACCTCTGTAGTTCATAATAACAGAAAAAAGGTTCTGCCTGGAAAACAGAAAAAAAACAACATCAAGTTAATAATGATTAGGTAAAGAGAACAGGTTTGGGTCTTTTTTCCTTTTTCTTTCTTTCACATTCTGTAAGTCTGGAATAGCTTAATTGATGGTGTTTTTATGTTGGTATAAAATAAGGACAAGTGTGTACGTAGACATCATGTAATTGAGCCAGGATCTTCATGGTTTTTTGGTAGCCACAAAGAATAGATGCAAAAAATCTACATATACATGGAGGATACAAGTTTCCCAAGTTAAAGAACTCCAAGAAGTGATTTGTTATTTCAGCTCTATTGAACTTCACATCCCATTTATTTTACTCTTTAAGGTTAAGCAAATGCTTAAATACTACCTTGAAGAAGGATGGATTTAAGTATGTGCTACTTTCTTACGGTTAGACTTGATGATTTTAAAGGTCTTTTCCAACTTAAATGATTTTATGATTCTTTTTCAATCACTTCACAGACTAAAGTTGCTGAGAATCAGTTAAAAAATCTGCAAAACACCTGGAAAAGCTCTACATTTCAAAAGTCCATGCCAAGTCACAAGTATAAAAGCTGGTGTCATAAAAAGGGAAACCATTGCTACACAGTCCTCTAAACTTTATTTGCATACAGTTCTCAAGTTTTCGTTCTCAAACTGTTTCAGCAACTGCCTTTTCCTTAGCCTTACCTAAGCTGTTAATCTGTTTTACTTCTGTAGACAGACATCATATACCACTCCATGGTTCTGTGCCTTTGTCATGCTACACATGAAATTACCACAAAGTTTGCACAAGCAGATTGCTGTGTATTAGCAAAGCTTCACTAAATTAATTAGGATTATGAAGAGGAGCGTACATCTTCTACACTGAACTCCAGGACTGATGCTTCAGCTGTAAATCTCACCATTTCAGAACCAGCTCCCAAGTGCTATCACCAACAGATAACCAGAATCAGAGTTTTGCTTTCAGGAAGCATATATGTAATTTTCTGTGTTTCAAGCATTGTGAAATTCTAGCTGTCGATTATTTTTCAGCTGGAACAAACCAAAAGATAGTACCTGTGAGATAAAGCTAATGTCTCACTCACACATGTGAGGCTGTGTCAGCCTCCTCTCTAGGGTCAAGTTATCAGGAAAGGATTTGGAAACTTTAATTCCCACTTTTACACCCTGCCTACCCTACTGATATCAGTGGTAAAACGGACACGTTATTGCCTTCATGGTCATCAGAGATAGTTCGGGTTTGCACATGCTTTTATGAAAAAGTGGGAATTGTAATTCACATTCAATTGCAATTAAACGAGTAAACTACATTCAGTTGCAATTATTGCAGAAAGCATTATTTGTTTTACTCTATCACTTTATTCTTGACTTTCTTCCCTTCCTATATACCCTACTCACCTTCTGTTAGAGTTCTCCCTCTTCAGAAAGCTTAGTAGGAATTTCCCCCCCACATACTCACTCTCCTACCCCCACTGCAGTCTGGTGGCTGAAAGTCACAAAAGCGTTTTGATTCCTTCAGAGCAAATGGACTATTGTTTACAGAGAAATTGTGTGTGCCCTCATTTATTTCAGCTGGGCTGAGAAATCAGAGATTAGGGTTGCCACCAGGGCCTTAAAGTACAGGCTTCAAGGTTCATGCTTAGACTTTCATTATCTATATTGCAGGACAAGGAGAATCACTGCACTGAAATAATCATAGAGAAATGTTAGGTGGCCTTTCCTGGGCCAATACCATAGTGCATTTCCCTTCAGACACTACTATTCACTTCCTCCTACAGGTAGTTCTGCCTTTACAGCTTTTTCATTTCCAACCTGAAATAGCTTTATCTGGCCAGGCAGTGTGTGTGTAGAGTAGCTGCCTGGCAATTCCTCCTGTAATCCTGTTAAATCACAGCTAATACAAGTTGTCACTCTGCTTTGACCAAATCTCCAGGCATAACACCTTTTCCATAACACTGTCCAGCTTGAAAGCAGTTCTGAACATATGAGCTTGCCTTGTTGATTCTTTACATCCAGGTAAGCATGTTTATTAGCATACGTGGCCTAAATGCAGGTTACAGAATAATTTCATAAGTTATATTGATAGTTTAAAAAAGTAGCATATTTTCCATCAGTTTATTCTTCCCTAGAGAATTTTCTGTATAAAGTAACCATAATTTTACATAATTATTAGGAAACAAATCCAGCAACTTATAACAATGATGGAAGTAGTGCTACTAATGCTATCCTGAATATATTTATCTGCTAGTTAACTAATATCACCTGTGTGTTATCACACAGACATACTTCCTGTTTTTACATCTTTGATAGCTGTGTATATATGTAGCAATACTAACCCAGGACCGTTCAGTGCATCTTTGGTGTTGAGGAAAGTTTTTAGCAAGGCAATAGTCTTCAATTGAAAAGAAATAAGAAAAGTAGAAACAACTTAAGAGAGTCAGTCTTAGATCCCAGCTAGCCTACATGGGAGGAGGATGACAAGTACATACCATATACTTACAGCATTCACTTCTCAGTTCCCTGGCAGCAGCATCTACTGAAGAAATGCTGGGTTCCCTTTCTAAAATCCTGTTTATCCCTTTCTAAAATGACTATCACCATGCTGCCTAACTAAGCATGGCCAGGCCCAGATTGTTGTGGTGGATGATGTCCAGTTGGCAGCTGGTCACACGTGGTGTTCCTCAGGGTTCACTACTGGGGCCAGTTCAGTTTTATATCTTTATCAGTCATTTAGACAAGGGGATCAAGGGCACTCTCAGCAAATTTACAGATGACACCAAGTTGGGTGGGAGTGTTGATCTGCTGGAGGCTGGGAAGGCTCTGCAGAGGGATCTGGACAGGCTGGATTGACAGTCCAAGGCTAATTGCATGAGGTTCAATAAGATCAAGTGCCAGGTCCTGCCCTTGGCTGACAACAACCCCATGGCACACTACAGGCTGGGGGCAGAGTGGCTGGAAAGTGCCACAGCAGAAAAGGACCTGAGGGTGCTGGTTGACAGCAGCTGATCATGAGCCAGCAGTGTGTTTGAGTGGCCAAGAAGACCAATGACATCCCAGCTTGTATAAGCAATACTGTGGCCAGCAGCACTAGGCAAACAATTGCCCCCCTGTACTCAGCACTGGTGAGGCCTCACCTTGAATCCTGTGTTCAGTTTTGTGCCCCTCACTACAAGAAAGACACTGAGGTGTTGGAGCATGTCCAGAGAAGGGCAATGGAGCTGATGAAGGGTCTGGAGCACAAGTGTTACAAGGCGTTGTGGTTTTGCCCACCAGCCAGCCCCTGGGGCTGAGGATGGTTTTGTCCAGGTGGATTTCCGGAGAAAAGACCAATCAAAAGTTTCACTAACGCCTTTGCTAATTACATATTTATGAAAACGGAAGAGAAGCTTGTTGCGCAATTGAAATTGGGAGCAGTAGCCATGTAGGAGCGGTGGCAGGCCCCAAGGAGGGCCAGGGCCTCTCCTCCCCCGGCCTTGGGCCACAGGCAGGTGTGGCACTGAAGCCCCCCTTCTCTCTTGTAAGAGAGCAGAGGAAAAAAAAAAACTTCAGAGAAGAACCTGGACAAGACATGCTGCAAAAGAAATTCCAAAGAGAGAGACAGCACAGCCTTCAAGGTGGAAGCTTGCAGCAGCAGGAGAGAGAGCAGAAGTTCGAAGGGAGGGGCCGCTCTCTTCCCCCTCTCTCGCTCTCTTTCTCCCTTCAGCAGGGAAAAGACTGAAAAATAAATCCCTGCCACCTGTGGAAGATTATTGGGGTGAAGAGATCCCCACGCAGCTCATAAAGGAGCTTGTGGATGTACAAGGAAGCTGAGACTTCATGAGAAGGCTTGAAATGAAACAGAGTCTGCTGGAGGCTTGTAGGCCCTGAGAGAAACTTACGCCGGAGCAAAACGGCTCGGGTACGATGTTGGAATCCGAGTGTGGGATCCATGCTGCAGTTAAATTTGTGACCATGAGAGACAGAAAAGAATGGAAGACCTGTTGTCTGAGAGATGGACTCACGTCAGAGAAGTCTCTTAAGGACTGTTCTCCCGTGGGAAGGGACCACACAGGAAACAGGGGTGGACTTAAAGGCCATTATCCCCTGTGACCCTGTGGTGAAGATCAATGGTAGGCAAGTGTCCCCTTGCAGTCCATGGAAGGGTGACCCCCCCAGCCTCCGGTCTTAGCCCAGGAAGGAGGTAGGCCCAGCCTTGGAGCCGACATAGAAAAGAGAGAGGGAAAAAGTTCCAGCTGTGATGAAAAGGAGTTGTCATCCTAGAGATAACAGAAGAAGAGCTTTAGAGTGTTGCAGAGTTATTGAAAAGACCTGGAGCTCTGAAAATGGAGAATGAGACTGCTTCTCCTCCTTGGACTGATAATAAGGGAGGAGAGGTATTTCTGTAAACAAATAGTACCTTTACCTAAGTAGAATTACTGTAGATATAGTTCTTTAGTTTTTGTCTTGCTAGTAATAAAAGTTAATATGATTTTCTCCAATCAAGTCTCTTTTGTCTGCATAAACCTTCTCTCAACTTAGAGTAATTGTGTGGGGGGTGAGAAAAATTGACTCAGAGCAAAACCACGACACAAGGAGTAGCTGAGGGAGATGGGATTGTTTAGCTTGGAGAAAAATAGCCTCAGGGAGACCTACAGTAAGTGATCCTGTTCTGCAGACATTTTCTGTGGTCCTAAATTTCATAGACTCGTCATCTGTAAAATACTCAATTTCTATTGATCTCTTTATAGCAAGGACCAGAATGGAAATTTGGGCCCCAGTCCTAAGAAACCAGATGGGTCCTCAGTAAGCACCAGATACCTTGAACAAGCCACTACCTCTATGGTTTCCTCCATCTGCTAAATGCCAGGTGTGGCATTTACCATTGCTGGCAAAGAACTTTATATCACATTGATGAAAGGCATCACAAAAAGTGTTAACAACTTCTTTATCTCAAAGTATGAAACAGAATATAATGAAAGTTGAATGAGGAATCTCTCATTTAGTGCTTGTCCATCACAGGTTAGTTTTAGAGTCAAATGCACTTTGAGTGCCAAGTTAAAAGCTTGTCATAGCTAACCTCCATTAAAAAAAAAATAAAATTAAACAAACAAATTTTAGATCACTCAACTGTGAAAATAAAGACCTAATGAAGAGCAAATCTATTATTTTTACACTATTTAATCTCAAAAATTATGACAGCTTCAATCATGGGAATCTTTGGGAAACATGAAATCTCTGATGAAAACTGCAGTGATATGAAAGGAAAAGAATGAGGAAAAATTATACAGATCTAAAAGAGATTATTGATTTTTGCTTAATACTTCTGGAATTGTCCTTTGGGGCAAGGAGGTTCATTGCAAATACAAACAATTGGAAACACAGATACTGCTAAATACCAGCTTACCGAGTCAGTCTCATGGCACACGTGTCTCTTAACAGCTGATTCATACAGAACCTTCTTTGGTCATCCTCACACTGTGGAAGAGAGGTGTATAGTGAGACATACATTCTGATAAGAAGAACGTATGCTGAAGTGATTTACACTGTATTTTCCGAAGTCAGCATGTTCTTAAATATGTTCAGGATGTTTTGATCTGAAATGTTATTTAGTGAATATCTTATCTTACACTGGGAGGTATTATATAGGTACCAGTGGGGGCAAGAGTGTTCAGGAAAGGAAGCAAGCTGGACTTAGCAGTAGAGCTTTAAATTACATTCAGCAGGGGAACAGGATATACTTGAATCCAGGCAGGGCAAGTGGAGACAGCAGCATATTCCACTGCCCCATCTACCTGGGAGCCGTAAGAAAGGCACTCAGCGTTGCCTACAGCATGCATCAGTTCTGCTTTGATTTCATACAGTGGTGGGCCAGAGGGAGAGATGAGGCAGAGGTCTCCTCTTGAAGAGGTAGAGAAGAACTGTGAGGGGAAACTTGACCCTGGGGAGTGAGAGGCTTTCCATCTCAAGGGAACTGGACATTTCTTCCACCAGCTTTTGTTGTGCCAGAAAGCAAAAAGGGATTTTATTATGTATGTCAGTAGGAAATGGAGGCCCTAGAAAAACACTGAACCCATGTTTGGTGCCCTGGCAAATGGGCATGCAGAAAGAGCAGAGGCATTCAGTGCTTTTTCTGTCTCAGTCTTTCATATTGGTGATAATCCTTGGGCTCTCTGTCCTCTGAGCTGGAGGAGCACAGCTGTGGAAACAGTGGCTTTCCCTTCGTGGACACAGAAATTGTAGGGGACCAGCTGCATCACTCAAATGTTCCTAAGTTCATGAGGCCTTGGTGGGATTCATCCTTGAGTACTAAAGGAGCTAGCAGATTTTATGGCAGTACCCCTGCAGTCATTCATCAAAGGTCCTGGGAATCTGGGGAACTCCCCACTGAGTGGAAGCTAATAAACATTATTCCAGTTTATAAGAAGGGCACAAGGAAATGGAATGGAACACAATGAAATACAAAGGCGGAGAACAAAGGAGAGAATATATAGTTAATTTGATAGGGATCTGGAATGAAAATCTAGTCCAAGTGATGCGTTGTGACATCACCAATTACTTACCCAGTTGGATGATGGATCTACCTAGCAATGGATTATGACATCACAAATGACCCAGAATCCCTCGCTTCTTAAATGAGCTCATGCCCCAAACTCAAGCTGAGTAAATTTGTGAGGTTTGGAGTGGCAGGTGAGACCTTTGGTGCTGGTATTCATTTCTGGGAGTTGCTCCTTGCAGTTCTTGTGCTGTTGGAGGATTATTCCCAGACTTGGCACATTCAGGCTGTGGGGGCGCCCAGGAGACAAGCTCACAGCAATAGAAGTGGGTTGGGAGGGGAAACACCACCCTGGGCAGCTGGGAGGCTTTCCTTCTTGAAAGGTTTGTGTATTTTTTCCACTGTTCCCCAGGCCAGCCTCTCTCCATTTGCTTGTGTGACATCCGCTGCTGCAGCGCTGGTGAGAGGGAGCAGCTCGACAGCCTGAGTGAGCCCAAGTGCCCCTCCTGCCAGACAGTCTCCAGCACTTTGCACATCTCTCTTGGCAGCACATGGCATCAGGTGCCAAAGAAGACATGGGGGAGAGCAGCTGTGCTGACAGCGGTGGCAGCCTGAGCCAGTCACCCCAGGAAGGACCTATGGAGGCAGCAGAAGACTCCCAGTGCCCCATCTGCCTGGGGCCCATGAAGAAACCAGCCTACGTGACCTACTGCATGCACCAATTCTGCTTTCGGTGCATCCGGCAGTGGGCCATGGGGAGAGACAACTGCCCCGTGTGCAGGCAGCCCATGGAGAAGCTGTTGCACTCGGTGCGAGGGGACGGCGACTACGAGGAGTGTGAGGTGGGCCTGTCTGCCCACCTGCAGAGGATGATGGCCATGGAGTGGGGCCTCCAGGCACTCCCCCCAGGGATGCTACAAACAGCACAGGTGGCCCATGACCAACAGCCCTTGGCTGGCAGAAGAGGCTTCCTGGGTACTGAGAGTGCCCAGAGGCAGGATGCAGCTCCAGGGCCCTCCAATGCCCCTTCCCAGCAGGCTCCTACATCCAGTGCTTCCTATGAGACAGCCCCACTGAGGGCAGGCGAGTGTTCAGGTGGCCCTGCTGCTCCCCTGGACCCACACAATGGCACTGAGTAGCTTCGGCCCCTCAGCATCCCCCCTCTCCTGCACTCAATAAACAGCATGGTTCCTTCCAGCACATCTGTGTGTTATGACCAAAAAATGTTTCTTAGTCCACAAGGCCTTGGTGGGATTCATTCCAGAGTGCTAAAGGAGCTGGTGGATCTTATGGCAGGATCTCCTCCGTCCTCTAGCAAAGGCCTTGGGAATTCGGAGAGGTCCCTGCTGACTGGAAGCTAGTCAGTGTTATTCCAATCTACAAGAAGGGCACAAGGGAATGGGATGGAATACAACAGAGGGAAGAGGACAAGAGAGGGGAGAGGGAGAAGCAGGGAGGAAGGAGGGGAGGAGAATGTAGTTCAGTTGGTTGGGATTTACAGTTTTCATCTAGTCCAACTACCTCACCTCTTCAGGGCTGACCAAGGATTAAAGCCCAATTTGAAGGGCTTGTTCAAGTGCGTCTTTCTAAGGGACTGATAATCAAGAAGCATCGACCACCTTTCTGGGAACCCATTTCTGGTGTTTGAACACCCACTCTGTAAATAAATCATGTGTGTGTGATTGATAGGAGCCAAAGAGGATGTGACAGACTACATACAGCAACAGGGTGTATGTGAATTATTTATCTGAATACAGTTGAACATGGTTGATTATTATATACAAGAGTGATGAGATTTTCATATGTTTCTATGACACTAGTTAAACTAGAACCTTAGTGGAGATTGCTATAATCTAACACAGTTCATATTGCAAAATTTAGAAGGATCATATAGATCACAGGTCAAATTTTCCCTAAGAGTAAGTGTACATTATATCACAAAAATAAACAGTAGTGCATAACTGCCTGAGATAGCTGAAGAATCTTAAGAATCTTGAAGGTTTTTTTGTTTTCTAAAAGGACACTTTTTACACATCTTTTTTTAATGAACTCTGAGAGAAGGAAATTTATTTTCCAGAACCTGACTCTAAGTCTGCGACTCTCCAGTGTTCCGTGGCCAAAGGCACGTTTTAGATAACCGTAACAACAAAATTAACTGTGAGCTCGGTATAGACTATGTCAGAGTCTTGAGTTCAGTGTGACTGGGGAACGATTCAGTAGAGCTGAAGAAATCTATAGAACTGGGTCCAAAGTGAAATAAATACTGTGGCTTTCAATGCACCATATCTGTCTCCTCTGTTAGGTTTTTTTCCTGGTCCTGACAGACTCACTGGCACTCCTGCCTGCTAGCAGAACCTCTCCTTTCTATATAAGTGTTCTGTAACAAGCATGCCCTGGAGCTGGAGGAAAACTCTGCCTGTGACTTATTCCACCTCAAGAGCTGCTCATGTTCTTTGCTATTATTAGCAATGGGAAGTAACTTCATGGCCTGAAGCTCTCAGAGCTGTGTGTTACTGTAAAGGGTGATCAATAATTCACTTGAGGAGATCTTAAAATGTCACCCTTCCTAGTTAAACCCTATTGAAGGTTGCACATGTTCTTTGAGATAATGAACATTTTCTAAAACCTGAACACTGCTAATTTTTCTTCCAAGCCTGTTAGTTACTTGGCTGAAAGACATTATTGTTTGCTAGTAATCATGCTACCTGGTAATTATAACTATTTCCAGAACTTGAATCACCAAGGATGCTCAGTCTCTGTTCCTGGCCTCCACAGTGCACTGCACTATATTAAACCTTGTTTAAACATGTCAAACCACAACAGAGTTGAAAGAGACTTTAAACATATTAATAGAACATGCAGCATTTTTCAATAGCACAATTTCAAGAGATACTTAAACACAAGGCTGCCTTCTTTTTGAGGACTACACAATCCCTCTAGAAAACTACAAACATTTAAATAATGGAAAAATCTCCACCTTCTTCCCATGATGAGCCTCTGACTAAATATCAGTTCTTGGCTCCTTTAGTCCAAAAATCCCTTTCTGGGAGCAAGTGAGGCTTTTTTTAGGAACCTATAAGTATTCTTTCCTGTCTCTCCAGTACAAATATTAATGCTTTTCCTGAGATAATCGGAATGTGGGGACAACTCTGAAAAAAAAATGGGTCTCTAGGACAGGCAGAGCACTCCCTAGATATGGTATCTGGATAAAGGTTTCTGCTTCTATGCTGTTCCACTGAGCATTTCTTCCAAACCACCACCTACCCTAGTAATTTAACTTCTCTGACCCACTACAGCTTGAGGTTTGTACTTAAGAGCCACTTCTTAGAGACTTGGGTTAAAATACAGAGTGGGACAGGTGTATAGACAAAACAAATCCAGTAGTCATCATTCAGTATTACTGCAACCAGCATACACTGGGCCACCAGTTCACAAGAGGACTATTGGATTTTCTCCCTATTTGTTGTCAATCTCAAGATTTCAGTGTATGGAGAAAAATCTGCAAGGAGCAGAATTCCCACTTCTGTCAACAGATGCTCTGTCTAGATGGTATAAAATCTATAACCTTATGCTCCCTGTATAAGCTTATATCAGTTTAGTAAGAACTGACCATCTTGAAAATTCATGTCTTAAAAGACTTTTCTTCAAGGGTGTTAAGGCTGATAAATCTCATGTCTCAAAAAACCAAAATCAAATTAAAGGTCATCCCTTAGGCTGCCATCCCTTGTAAAGCCTTTGGCCAAATTTCTTGCTTGTAACTGCTCATCTGAAGACAATTTCCTGCTCTGAATACTTTTTAATAGAATGACAGATTCCCACAAAAGGAAAGAAAGCAACTATTCACCTTAAAAGATATGTTTTTCAGCTGAATTTACAAAAGGATTGTGAACATTAAGTTCCTGGCAAAAGTTCAAAAGGTGTCTGGTTAAAAAAAAAAAAAAAAGTTGCTCATTATTTGAAAGTATCCATTTGTATTGGTTATTAAGCATAATAATAACATAATAGTAACTTGCATGTACAGACAGATATTTTTAATTATGTAACCTGAATTCAACAGTGTTATATAAGGTAAACAAGAGTCAAGAAAGGAGAATGCAGATGGCCTTAGTGTAGAGTTCTACCTCCTTAGCACACAAACAAGCTTTGAAGCTTCACAAGAGACTCCTGAACATATCATTAGGTTCCAGTTTTGAAGATCTATAGTAGTGGATGCTGACCTAGAAAAGGTAAATAACTTTTCCACCATTACACATATTTACACATGTCCATAATTACATCTAATCACCCACACTTCACTCTTCACAAATCCCTCTTTGGCAGCTGAGTGAAGTTTTCCATCTCCTAACACAGGATGTGTTGTCACAGATCTAACACCAGAAAGGACTGTGATGACCATCTAAGCTCAGGCACAAGGTGATTTCTGCTTTAACCTCAAAAACTTGAAGTTGAATGACAGCAAGGAACCACGGATACTTTTCCAAGACAAAACTCATTCCGGTGGTCACTGAACATGTTCCTTTTACTGCTGTGATGTAGGGATGAGATGAAAAAGAACATTTGAGATGGATACTTGCTCAGCCCATTCTGAAGGTATATTCAAACATCAACTATTTTCTCCAGACTGAGAGCAAACAGTTGTTAATTCACTGATCTGAATCATATTTGAAGAAGTGAATTGGTGATGAAAAGTTTCCCGATTTACTTTGGACAATGCTCTGTCAAGAGAACCACTAGTTTTCAACAATAAGTAAGTGAATAATATTGACAGTGAAAAATGCCAATAATTTAAATTCGGATAGCACATTTTAGCACTAAACTTTTATCCATACACTGGTTAAAATGTTAAATGCGTATATATAATCAACTTCATTATAGTCCTTTTCCTTAATGCATCAGGTAAAATATTGTATTGAACCGGAAGTTTCACATGGCGGCACATAACAAAAATTAAAAGAAAGCCCCTACCTTCTTTTTGCTAGACATCTGTCATCTGACCCATATACTGACAGACTCAGGCTATTATCATACCTATGCAAAGCAGGTAATTGGTACTATCTGTGAACAGAGATAACACACTGCCAATGAACACTGCCCAGAGCAAAGCTTCTGCTGTACTGTAAACTTTGGGCTGGAAGTAAATCAAGGTTGCCCACTGAGAATAAAGCTCACATTTAATAGCACAGGTCAGTGTCACTGAAGCTCAGAAATCCACTGCAAGGTTGCTTAAAGTCAAATAATCCGAATGGCAATACCCCTGGATTGAGAGATGATGATAAAGCAACATCTTCTGCAAGGACATTTCTGCATGGGTACAACCAACCACGCACAACATGCATCATGCATGCACAAGCACCCCATCAGTGATTCTGGCTTTTATAAACCTACCCTAGTTTTCAGTGATAATGACAAGAATCCAAATCTAATTCATTCTACACAGTACTTCGAGAAGTTTTGCCCTTGTTAAATTTCAAAACCGAAAGGCCAATTGAAAATAAGAATTCTCTGACCACTTGAAAAAAATAGCATTAAGCTCTGACAAAACCAAGTTTTTTCTGAAAAAGTAACCTTTGATCTTCTTCAGTCGCATTCCCTACAGGAACTCACTAGACAAAGTGGGAGCAAAGCAGAGACGTTTCCCAGTACATTTCACCTGGAGTTCAGCAATAATATATGCACCCTCAGGAAAGCAAATAATCTCTCTGATTGTTACTGAAAGTTGCTATGTATAAGGACTGGTGAAATTTTATTCCTTCAGGGATGCTTAAAGAAAGTGGAGGAAAAAAAGACAACTTACCGTTCGAGCCAAGCTTTGCCTCAGATGAGTAGTGCTGTGTAGTCGAAGCTGAACACAGGGGGTTGCCTTGTGAAGACTTTCGTGGCTGCCCAAAGTGTGATCGCTGCAGTTTGGGGGGAAAACAAATAAATCGTTATCTCTGCTTGCCATTTCCTTTTTTATTTATTTCTTTTTTTTTTTTTTCCCCTTGTCCCTCTCCTAAAGGCACCAGTATACTAAATTCTAAGTGCAAAGGAGACAGAATAATAAAAACCCTGTACTTAGTGCCTACTTCCATGAAAACTGATGGGGTGAAACAATTGATTGCTTAGTTGTATCACTGACCATTAAGTTCTGTAACAGAACAACAATGACAGAGAGAGAACAGCCTTAACCAACAGCATGTGCTTCCAAACCTCGAGATTATTCATGCATGTTCTTCAAACCCAAGTTAGTGCAATTTATACAAAGTATCCTGGATACAAATCGTCACTGCAGAATGACTTGCAGAGTCTGATACCCAACTCGAAAATCAAATATTAACTATAAGTTTGAAAATCACATCTATTAAGATGGGTGTCCCTTGATTCTTAAAGAAATCAAAGTTCTCATCCTGTGCAGCTCACACAGAGGTGATAAAAGCAGAGTTGGTCTTCGTCAAGTCATATGCCAGCTAAGGACAGACATAGAGCTCTACTCACTCAGCTGGAGTAGTTATTACAAATTACACTGCTGGTCAAAGATGCTCTACCACCCCATAATAGGGGAATTAATTATTCTTATTTATTTGCCTCCTCAGAGTAGCTTCTAGCCCATTTAGCACTCTTGGCAACTTAGTTTCTAAGTTATCATGCAACCTTGGTTTGTCACTTGATATTACTTGGAACAAAACCAATTTCACTATTTCCCTTCCACATGTTGTTTTAAATGGGTGAAATAATGCAACATTTTTTTTCAGAGTTAAGGCAAACATTCTTTTACATCAGAAAAAATCCTTCGGGATTAATGACTAGGAAAAACAACAATGGTTTTTAAAAAGGCAAATTAATCACCAAAAGTTAGTATGCATCATCAGTTAGGCCTCTAGTGCATGTTCAATTAGATTCATGTAGCTTTTTTTCAAGACTTCAGCCAAACAAGCACAAGAAAGGATATTCTGTATTTATACAGTTTTGCAGTACGGTAAGTTGTTTCAGAACTCCCTGGTCCATGAAGAAAAAACGATTCTTTCTTGGTTTGTAAAGGGTCAGGAAAAACTCAGAATTCAGATATAAAATATACTTCTACTTAAACAGGCTTTTGATGGAATGTCTGAATAAAAATGGCTGGATTTAGTTTTAAAAAACCCAAAGTGCTCACCCTATGAATAAATCATGGAAAGTCTGACTTAGGGGAGACTCAAATCTTTCACTGAGCAGCAGAGGTTCCCAGCATAAATGAATGGTTACACTAAAAAATATTCTATATGTAATTGCCATTCAGCACAATTACAGGTAATTAATACATATTGTAAATAATCTGCACTCATACTACACTGTAGTTAATAAAATATATACTCTCCATTAGAAGTTACAAAAGGTGTAAGAGTGGATACAGGATTTTTTTTTTTTAAATATATACATTAAATGTTACAGAGGACAAACTCATTCCCATCTGACAAAACAAATACCCAATACCTATACCAAAGGTTCTCCTTTGGTAGCACTTCCATACATTTGAGAAATTTCTTGATTCCAAGAGCATGATGTAGAGCTGTAAGAGTGAGGGAAGTTAACACCAGCACAGTGAAATACCTGCACTAGAGCTAGCTGCATATCACTGTTATACCTAAACCCTTCGCAAGTCCTTTTACAAGCAAAAGTCCAAGTGACCAATTCCCAGTTCCTGTGACTGTACCAACACCTCCATTCTCTTCTGTTGCTCCTCAGCTCATCTCTGTGTTGTGTCTTCCCGTGGCTTTCTTGAAACTTCTTCCTCTCCTCATTTCAGCTGACCAAATCTGCCTCCTGACTCTGATGATGAACTCTCTGTGACTGGGGCTGAGTCAGTGAGGAAATCGTGTGAGAGTGGGGTGTGAAGGGAATCAAGGGGGGACCCACTGGGTCACAGGACCCACTTCTGTCAAGGGGGTTTGGTCCCAGCAATGAAACTCTCAGTGACTCCTGAATGGTCAGACTATGAAGTTTCCTTAACACATTAGAATTACCTCACACCTGGTTTTTACCTTATACCCCACCATTACTTCTGCTCTTTCCATTCTGCCTCATCTCCAACCTTGGGACAGGCATAGTGACAAGAATATTATCACAAAGAAACACATCTCTGAGTCCTGAGCCACTTTTTCCTGATTCCTCCAGCAGACAGATTCCTATTGCAATGCCAACATCACACCAAGCCAGTGACAGGAATTGGTATGTCTGTACCAATACAGAGGAGTGTTCTGCTAGTGTACAGCTATACCCTCCTCTGCAGTTACAGTTTTGTACCACAGATGTATAAAAACTGCCTTTTGCAAGTGTAATTTTTCCATGTCATCCCGCTTCCAGGCAACACAAGCTGTGTCAAGAGAAGTTGAACTTCTTGATTATAAATACATTTACACCAGTGGTTTGTGTTAGCTCTGCTGTGTCAGGCAGATACTATACATCATCAAATCTTTTATTGACACAGCAATGCTGTCTGAAATACTGCAGGCAGAAGTACTGGCCGTGCAGTTGACTCCATGAATGGATTTTATTTGCACAAATACAAAGGGAAAAATTTTGACAGATATTGTTACACAAGGGACTAGACAAAATGGATTAATGCCTCAGCAAAATAATGTAGAAACCTGGTCTAGATGAAAAGTGAAATACAAGAAATAGAAGTGAAGCTTTGCCACATTTTAGCTGTACCCCAGGCAAATTCGCTACTGTACCTTTACTATTAAGACAAAGGCAATATATCTCCTTTGGAGGATAATATGATTATTAGTAACTGGTTTACAGCCCTCTGAGATCTGTAAAGGAAACAAAAATAAAAGCCCTACAACATTATTAACTCAAGTTTTTCCTTACTTTTTTCTGAAATTACATGGAGAATACAGCTTTGCGGGAATGTTGAGACAAATGATATAAAAGCAGTCCTTGTCTTTAGGAGACATGGTGATGAGTGGTCAAAGTAAAGGGACTTGCCCGTGGTCTCACAATATATCAGAAGCAGAGAAAGTGAAAATCCCTCTCTCTTGAGACACCCTTACTACTTGTTTCCCCATAGCAAGGTTTTCTGATGTGCTATAAGCTTCAAATCCTACTACAGTTCAATCATTCTATTTTTTTAAGGGACTCAGCTGAGCAGCATCTCCGAATGAGAAACTTAATCTGCACTGACAAGAGAAAATTACGTTATTTTTTCACAAAGAACATGTTCATCCAAAGGTATTTCCTTCTTATGATTCCAATCTGCATGATTATGTCTCTGCCCGGTGTATAATTAATAGATTAAACTTTGAGTGAAAACCAATTCTTATTTAGATTTCAATTCCCAGAGAACAGAATTAGTAAGGTAAAAAAATAAAATGTCATCAATAAGGCCACAGGCAAGCATGTGAGAAGAAATGATAAGCATTTACACTTTTCAGTTCCATACCCCTGCTCAGTGTGTTGGCTGAACTGCAAAGCAGTAAGGTACCTGTGCAAAGTACACTATGGGAGAGTGTGGATGGAACTTTAAATACACCAAAGCCTTAAAAAAAAAGCTTATAAATATCCTTGTACTGCATTCCTTTGCTGGATCTGCACTACTGCAATCTATTGATAGCAGACAGATCAATTAAATATTAAGAAATTGAAAAAAAAAAAAAAAGTCCCCTATTCTTATATATACTCGCGTGTTTTGCTTTATCTGGCATTTCAGGATGCCCTGAGTTTGTGACCTGTTTTGCTAAAGACAAAAAAGTCTAAATGGAGGACTGATTCACTGCTGACACATGAGAAGGGTTGTTTTTGGCTTGCTGCTGACATTAAGAGCCAGGAGTAATTTGACACAAGCTGCTGAAGCCCAATTTAATTTACTTTTATGTAACATCTTTCATGAAGGGCATCATAAAATCATTTTTAGGGGTATCCATTTTAAATCTAAGGAAAGACAGTAAACCGTGAGAGCAAGATTTAAAGGTGGATGTAGAAGGTTTGGATGATGGCATGATAAAGAATTTTTAGAAACAGCAGATGGCCCTCTAAGAGGTATAAGATGATCACGAACAGGACAAGTGTAATGGAGTGGAGAGTACACCCACAGCTGGGAAACCCAGAGAAGGAGAGTCTTTGGATATGTATGAAATTCGGAAACTTCTGTGAATAGTGGTAAAATTTGATGACAGAAATGGTGGGGTTTAGTCTTCTTTCAGGGAATCTGCATCGTTCAGACAGGATTCTGCCTCCAGATGCACTTAAACTGAACATCTGAAAAAGGAACTGCAGTAAATCAACTGAGGAACTAAAGTACACCTTACAATGACAGAAGGAGCAGGGACAAGGTGCAAGGCACTGTAAGAAATACTTGAAAACACAGGAAGAAGAAGAAGGACTGCAGGCTGCAGCAAGGTCGGGGTTTCCAATCAGTACACAAAGTGCTCTTAAAGACCAGAAACCAAATAAGATTCCAAATCAGAATTTCACAGATGGCTTTATTAATTACAGACTCAGATGCAGTCTATATGCAGCCTTCTGATATTTTTAAAATTTGGATATTTGAAATCTGATATTCTACTTGTGAGTCAGATGGGATATGAGCTCAAGGATCTCTCTGTAGGAAGGGAATAATGGACGATAGAATCTTTTGGTGCTGAGTGTAATGGTCGTTAGCACACAAGTATTTTTTTCCTTCATCTCATTGAAAACTAAATAGATTTCAGAAATCATCAAGTCTTTCAGGTGCTTCTGCAGGAGGTGGGATGAAGTGCTCATTAATACAGTCCAATATAACAGTAAATGAAAGCTTTTGACAGATGTTCACAAAGCTGTCTGCTCTACTCTGTCTGAGAACAATTTATCACATCACTATTTTTGCCTCATTTCATTTTTTTTTTTCTGGATTACAGTAAAACAGGAGCAGCAGAGTATTTATTCCCTTTGCTGTTTCAACTTGGGGAACTTCTACTGGAATTCATCCCTGAATAATTTCCAAATACTCTTCTGGGGAAGAGCTGTGCACAAGTACATCAAATCACTGTGTTAGCAAGATTGGGAGGAAACCAATTTGCACTTAAAGATAGCCCACACATAGGAAAAATTTCACCCTGAGGCAACTCTGCAGGTCATGTTAAGCTACCCAAGCGATCATTATGGTCTGGGGTTTCAAATTTCAGATACAGAGTTCTGATGAAGAAGCAGAAGAAAGGGAGCTGAGCTTAATGACATAACATGGACTTACAAGCTGCTGAAGCTGGAAGTGCTTTTTGGATGACAGTGAAGGAGCAAAGCAAAGTCGAGAACGTTACTGACCCTGTTTCACTGCTAATGAGATGTGCAGAGATTTTGCAAGTGCAGGAATTTAAACAGTCCACTATTGATGCATTGTTCCCAACAGTGAAAACAAAACACTTCAGCACGTACTGTACACTGTACTGAAACACACTGAGCTCACTCTCAATACAACAGCTCATTATTTCTATTTTTCTAGCAATTACTTTGAAATAAGAGGAGAGCCTTGAAAATAATAATTAAAAAAAAAAAAAAAAAAGAGGCAAAAAAAAGGCCCTGGTTTTCTTCTGTAATTAACAGATGTTATGTATGACCTGGTTCTGTGCTCAGTGGTTCTAGTGTTCTAATGCTTCACACTGCACTCTGCTGTACCAGCTTCTGCTTTATGGAGATTTGAACAAAGGAAGAGGTGGCTTAGAGGTGTTGAAGTCTCCATCTTTAGTTTCCAAACATAATTCACTGCAAACATCTGAATTTTTGACCTGTGTTAGAGTAGAAGCGTTCAAGCTGGACACAGAACAAAGATAATCTATGCAGTGTGACACTTGCTCTCACAACTACATTACCTTCATTAATCCAACTGACTTGCTTTAGGCTAGTTCTGGTAATTTTTACATTCTACTGTATATATGACTACTTCTAAAATTTTCCCTTTCAATTACAGACATACACTATTTTATCTGGCACTTTTTACATCTCTAATACATGAGCTGTGATTCCTGCAGTGCCAGCTTAACATGTTACCACAGAGTACTGCCAACTTCTCCCCTTCTGCTGAAAGTCACCATCCCCACACCACAGCTGACAAGGACCTGCACTTTAGCTGCTTCAACACAGAATCTGCTCACTTTTGCTGACAGATGAATTTAAGCTGCCAGAGAGCAAGAAACAACTATCTGAGTCCATCAGTGCTTTCAATCACCACAGGAGCTTACTGGAATTAATGTGAATACAAACATTTACTTCCTTACCAGTAGACTACATAAATTCAGAAGGCCCTGCTTGCATGTACACTATGTTTTTCTTTAACCTACAGTCAGCACCAAAGCACTGACTTCATTTGCTTTACTACTATTGCCACTGAATATGAAGAAAACCCCCCTGCTATGCAGCTGTATGATATTGTTTCTCCTCTCTTTGGCTATTTCTCCTTTGAGAATATGCTGATAACATCCCTATGAGGTAGTGGGAGCAGCAGCATCCTTGTAATATGGATGAGAAAGACCAGAAGGGCAACTAAGTGAAACAAATTATTAAAGGCTGCATTATATAGAGGAGCTAAGATGTGAATCCTTGTACTAGAGCACACCATCATCTCCGCAGAACATAAGTACTGTGTGTTTCAGGAGCTTCAGAAACTACACATGAAGTGTTTGGAACACAACACTCTTAACTCTCCCTATGGTTCTTGTTTACAAGACTCGTGGTTTAATGAGATACCTACTTTTGTAAGAATTCATCAGACCCATAAACACTTAGAAAGCATTCCTCCTGGGCTGGGTATTGATTTGTGCAACGGAGGATCTCTACAATGAAGTCACGAGTGATACAGCCAGCTGTAAATAAAGATAGCAAGAAAAATTAATAGTAGCTTGATAGAGAATTTTGGGCTAGCCCCTTGAGCAAAGAAAATTAGATTTTTTTTTTTGGTAAGTCCTAACAGCTGCTGCAGACTAGCTCCATCAAGAGGAATTAAATCAAGACACACTTGATTTTATTATTTTTAAAATTTTTCTTCAAATATTTTACATGTCACTGGATCTATGTCCATTTAGAGGAAATTAGCAATTTGTTAGGTAGCTGCAATGAAGAAGAGATGAGTAACACTCCCAAGAAGAAAGGAAAAGACAAATAGCATTTTATTTCTCTTTTTCATTTTTATGATTAATATCTTGGTACATTTCTGGTGTACAAACATGGCCTGATGGAGAAGTTGACTCTGTAGCCGCTCAAGACACAAGAAGGCTACAGAATTTCACTTGGTATTGTTTTTTGCCATGCACACCTTTTTAGCCATAACAAAGTGGTAAATTAATACTCAAATGCATTTAACATATATGTAGTCTACTATATCAAAATTATTTAATAACTGTATAATGACAAAACAGTATAGACATGAATATATAATCCCTCTAAATTAGGAAGTTCTATGTCAGTTTGTACAATGTGCTGTTCAGAAATACTGCAGTATTTTGAGATTTTTTTCCAGAGCTACTTCAGCTTTTCAAGCCATTTTCCAACACTTGCCAGTACACTTCCTCTCTGTCCATTTTAGAAGAATTGAGCAAAATTGAAATGATTAGCTGCATAATCTGGATAATATCTGATAGGTTTCGTCCTTATGGGCATGCAGAGCACAGTGTACCCGCACTGATCCTGCAAGTCTGCCTTTCTCTAGCAGAAAAAGGGTCTGACTCTTCAGTGAAAAGTCCTCTTTACGTGTATAGAGATGGTTTAATAATGAAAAATAAAGTTTGGACTTCCTCCACACAGGCAATTTCATTAGCTTTTCTGTTAACAGCTACAGACAAAGTAGAATTTCCTTTCTGTTTTTCATTTTTGGTATTTCTTTATTCCTTCAAAAGCAGTGGCCATAGGAGCCCTTTCTGGAAGCTTTAAGTGAACCTTGGGGTATATAAATGGAAACTACCTACAAAACCCCAGAAAATAAACGTGTAACCCAGCTCTGCATGTGTTACATAAACATGTAACTTCAGCTTTGTGTGTTGACTAATTTACACTAATCCAGGTTCAGACACCTGGCTCAAACTGAGTCTAACCAACCAGTTTCATCAGGATTAATGAGGTTCTGAATTACCCATTTGCCCACAGCAGCCAATTCATAGAACAAAATAGAACTGACAGAATAGAAATCTGGTTCAGAGCTGCCATGCTATTATTTTAGAACAAACCAAGAAATATAAAATTGTTTTTGTGGGGTAGTTTAAAGGGTCGTGATACTGAGAAAAATCTTCAGAGAACAGATGACATTTTTAGGGGAGGGGTCTATGACATAAACAAAGCTGAAATAAAACAGTTTGTTGCCATAGCTAGCTTACTTTTTGGTTTGGTCATCCCTAGGGAAAAACAAATGTATCAATGGATTCAAGAGCTTCTTCTAAAAATGTTCATTTTCTTTGAAAAACTCTTTTTCTTTTGTTCTGAAAGCCCCCTCAGTTACACGTTTTCTACCAGTTTTACTAGTTTTAAACATTTAGCCCTCTGACAACTTGCTGTTTTAAGCATGGTTGGTTTGACACAAACTGCAGTGCCTCTTTGCTAAATTTATACACTCGAGAAAACAAAGAATGACACTGAATCTTGAATTAAAATTGTAACATGCACTTTTCTCAGGTCACTCCTTGGAAAAAATCTGAAACTTGCTAGTATCATTTGCACCCCTTAGACCCATTCTCCTTTTTTTTTGCATAACTGAACAATTTTTTATATTAGATGGGGCCAAGAAGTGGACTCCCTCCCTGCACTTCACCCTTATCACTTAGTTGGTAGGAAGTAAGCAAGTATAGGATAGAACTGTTTCTTACATCCCCTTTCAGTTTTAGCTGTGCCTTCTAAAGAGATTTCGTAAATAAAGTTAAGCAGACTGAAAAAAAACAAACAATCTGTAATGTTATATGATAAAAGATTTGCCCATAGTTAAGATTTTTGCTTTACAGGGAACTTCAATGTAGATTCCTTTGTCTCACTGACAGAAGTGTTGGAATTACTACCTTCTGGTCCAAGAGTCCCAAGATCTTCCATGGCATTCACAAAACACTGGTTTGAGATGACACAATCTACTATTTTTCCAGGCTTTCCAATGACTATGTAGATATTCACAAATCAGGCAAGAAAACTTGTAAAGTTTGTAAGTCTTGGCTACCTTACTTATGAAGCTTTTTATTTTTTTTCTTTTTTAAATATGTGTGACTGACATTCTGTAGAGCTTTGGATTTTCAGCTTTCAACCTGCCACACAAACTAGTACTCAGCCTGTTACAGCCAAATAATTCCTTGACAACTGAAGAAATGATTCAGGAAAAAAAAAAAAAAAAAGACTACCACTTAATGAAACAGCACAGGAAGAGAGGGGGAAGAAGATGTAATTTATTTCATTTTTGCATATGTTGCAGAAATAAAAATTACCAGAGCTGGAATTAAGATCCTCCCGTTCATCAGAGATACAGGATGCACAGGAGCAGTGGCAGCTTCCCACAGTCATCAGTGACAGAATAATCTAGGCTGGGAAGAACCTCAGTAGGTCCATCTATTCCAGCCTCCCCCCCTCCACAGGGGGGTCAACACTGAATTCAGATCAGCTTGTTTAGAGTTTTGTCTTGTTATACCTTAAAAACCTCCAAGGCTGAAGACTCCACAAAGTCCATGAGCTCCAATTAGTAATTATTCCCCTTTATTCTTTTCCCCTAGTTGGAATTTTTCCTTTAATTTTATAACTGATGTACCTTCCCAGACCTGCACATGACCTTGGGTGCAGAGGAGTTTCAGTACTGCAGACTTTGTTACATTCAGAGTCTTACATTCAGAAACAGAATCAAGGCTGTGAGAACTTCCAAGACTTTATAAGAGCTACCCATACACTTTAAATTAGGCACAAGCTTAAATTACTCCTCAATGAAAGTGTGAATGATGGCCCATTTTGGACTGCCAGAATTGACCCTGATTGCAACAAAAGAAAGTAGAGATCCCCACATTAGAGATTTTGATATTTAACATAATATTAATTTTATAGCAAATATACTGAACATGCTTGACAAAGTTTGGACTCAAGACTCTCATAAAGCTTGCTCTGCAAATATCTTTCCAGACAACAAAGGCATTTTGTTATCATCTCCATGGAACTCAGTTGTGGAAGAATATGGACACCTCAGTCAATTACCTTGTTGTGTAAGAAGTACAGGAGATGGTGAAAAATCTGTCCAAACACTGATTCTGAATTTTGTTCCACCAAGGATATGGTCTGGGAATCTTGTTGTGACACTCCAGATTCTCCCGGTATTTGTCTTCAAGTCAGAAGCAGGATAGGCATGTTTGATTCTGGAAAGAAAATGTGAAGAAATCATGTCTAAATGGGTTTGCATTTTTGATCTCTTTTAAGAATAAAACACAAGTTCTACAAGACACGTGTAGGAATAGTGCACAGAGAGCTGTTAGAATAAAATTCTGTGGAGAGAAGGGGTAGCAACTCAAACTCTGTTTACATACATTAGTGACATAACTACATATCAGATAGCACATATAACTACATCTTTTACTTTTAGGAAAACCATCAGTAAAATCTTCACGAGCTTGACAGCATCACTGCTGAGTTTGATCTCAGTGAAACCAAAAGGAGTTTAAACAGAGACTTCAGCGTACACTGAGAGCAGTAGAAATAATGGTGCTCAAATATGTACTTAAATAACTGAGTATTAACATAAAACTAACCAAGGGCACATGCTGTCGCTAGGACAGCTACTCAAAATGAATACAGGAACATGCATTCCTATGCAAAACCTTTAGCAGTCTATTTTCACAATTCTCTCAAATCCAATCTGAAATCCTCATTACCAAAACCCTGGGTATCTCTGTAAATGTCTGTACAGCACAGTAACTGTTACAGTCATTGAGTCCCTCTGATATACCATTACCTATAAAATATACTGCTCCTTCTCCTTCCAATTACCATAGACTTGCAGAAACTAATTCCTCCTGAGGTCCCATTTCCTAATGAACACTGGTCACAGGTATTATGTCTGTCATCTGAGATTCAATTTGCTTTTTAAGCAAATACACCTTGCAGCTGCAGGTAAGGGCACATATTGTACCCTTCACATTCGCTAATTGGCCTGAATATTTAGTAGCTAAACTTGAATATCCTGTATTAAGCATACTGCATTCTCTTTTGTTAGTTCAAGAAGCATTTTCTAGCTTCGGAGTTGGCAGGGCTTTATACCATTTCTGATTACAGTGTATTTTGAACCATGGTTGGTTCTCTCACCTAAAGGTCTTCATTACTATGTTACCCTCACCTCAGAGCTGCTGTCCAAGTCTCTTAACCATATGAACTACTCTTGTGTGCCATGTGTTTCTACAGTATGAGAAGGAAAAAAAAAAAAAGCCCAGGCTTCCAATATTAATAATCCAGTGAAGCAGCCCATTTCTTATAATGAAAAACCAGGGGGCATGATGTTTCAGTGGGGTAGGAGAAAATGAGGCTTGACAAGAGAACCTCCAGTACAAGGTAGATTTACACTCATCGTTAAAACCCATCATACTACAGAGGCAGTTTGCATGACCTACGTAGCTGATGTCAGTCTATTTTCTTTGTGTGCAAGGTACATATAAAACTTTCTTGTATCATCAAATTCACTCTTGTAAGCTGTTTCTGTAAGAAGGCCAAGGACCCAGGAAGGCTGGAAACTTCACTACCTTTTCTCCAGCATCAAATTAACAGGCTGTGTACACACATGGGGCATGACTCACCTCTTCAACTTACTGACAGTCACTTCAAAACTAAGCAAACCTCATCTCCTTCCCCACCCACGCACTGCTTATATTTTAGGATAATGTGGGGACACAAATTTGCTTTTCACGATTTTTCAGTTGAAAACGCATTCAGTTTCAGAAAGTGTTGCTCATTTACCGCCATCTATTCTTTTCACGTGACTAAAGGGCTTCTGGCCTGAGCAGGTGGGCAAAACATGCCCATTGTAAAACCTGGTAAGTTGAGATCTTCCAAAGCATAGCTAAACTACTATGCAAGTATTACATGAAGAAAATCTTGTGCTACTTGCTTTCTGTGCTGCAACAATTCAATGTATGTGGAAAGTACTAACATTTATAGGGATTTGCTATTTCACAGCATTTCAAAACACGATGTATTTCTCAGTGGTGCAGAGCCCATCCTTGAAGACAGTGGGAGGTGGAGGAAACTCTGCATTTTGCAGCACTGAACCCTGAGACTATTGGCTTGGCGTCTTCTGGTATCAAACTCACTTCAGGGCATATTCTGAAGCCACCCATGGATGAATGCTCACTATCGCTAGTTCATGGCTGTAGAAGTAACCTGATAAAGTGATTTTGCAGACTGATTTACAGTTATGTACAACCAAATGTTCCAATTATAGACGTCTACCTGTACAACTATTACCCAGAGAAAAACATGACGGGTTTCTGTTTGAGTTACATGCTGGAGCTGCAAGTATGCATGACACAGAGTTTGAATTACACATCTTGCCTCTGACATATGAAACTGTCAGCAATTGAGATTCATTGGGGACCTTGAGCATCCTTCTAGGGATGCTCATTTGGCAAGACCAAGTTTGTAAGTTATTTGAAAATTTATGACATTTACTGGTCTTTTGGTTGCTGTGACATTTTCTCCTAAAAATGTTTTTCTGTTTATTTAATAGAAGAAAAGTAAAGGTTGTTCTTATTTTCATTTTAAGAGCATTTGTTCGTGATGCACAAGAAACAAATTCCTGTAAATCAGCAGTGGTTTATTTCTGTTTATCTTTTAGTCCTGTAAATAAAACCATTTATTCAAAAATCAATAGAAAGCTCTTCCTATAATTAGAATGTTTAGACATTTAAAAAATCTGAAAATCTGAGATGAAAGCTGTCACAAGAAACGTGCCTTCATGCATCTGATGGTAGAAGAACTGGGTTGGAGTTCAGTCTGACAAACCGTGGAAAAGTAGAAAACTGAGATGTATGTGACTGAGTATATTTTGAAGTTGACCATCCACTCCATATGAATATATAATATATTCACTGTTAATTTCAGTGCAACATCAAACTAGGTTTTTTGGTTGGATTTTTTTTCCCCCTTCTTTTAAGGGAAGCAGCCTTCGCTGACCTTGAATAAAATCAATTCATTAAAGTCTAATGAAAAAAAAAAAAAAAAGCAGCTCTCTATTTTCCAACTACTCTTCTGGGGAGAAAAGCGTGCATTTGTGCTAACAACTTAACACTGTGATCAGTGAGTATCTACAAAGGAAAATGAATCTGCACAGATGGTCTAAAAACTCGTATTTCTTGGCGTGCTTGGATTTCAACACCATTTCTTTTTCTGAAGAAGATTAAGAAAGTAAAAAAGGTTCTATCTCATTGAGCCAGGCTATTAACTGTAACGGTAAACAATAATTAAAGGAGGTTTTGTCACTTGCTTAGTCTCACTTTTCATCATGACAGGAAGCAGTAATTCTGTTCTTGGTCAGTTCCTCCAACTCTTTTTCCTGCTCTGAGCTACACAGCCACTAATATTGTCCAAAACAACGACAGAAAACAGGATTTTAAGTTTTATACACTATAAGCCATCAACACTGAAGAGTTAAATGTACTTACCACTGATAAAAGGGACAGTTAAGAGAGAAAATATTTTTTGAACTAACATTCCTTTCTGTATTTTAATCTTTAAACCAAAATTAGAAGTGCTTCATTATTTAAGTAGATACTGGAATTATGGCATTGTTTAGAAATGCAGAGTGTGGTAGGTTTACCTTGGGTGGATGCCAGGTGCCCATCAAGCTGCAGGGGCAGGTGGAGAAAAAAGGATGGGGAAAAAACCCTCCTGGGTCAAGATAAAGGCAGTTCAATAAAACCAAAAGCAAAGGCCACATATGGAAATGAAGGGAAACAAAATATTTATCCTCTACTTCCCATCAGTGGACAATGTTCAGCCCCTTTCCAGGAAGAAGGGTTTCAGACAAATGTAATAACAGATACTGTTGTCATCACCCCTCCTCTCTTCCTCTTCCTTTGTCTCAGCTTCTACTGCTGAGCAGACATCACATGTTAACAAATAACATGTTCGATCAGTTTTCCCTCCTGGCTATGTCTCCTACCAAAAAATTGCCCACTCCCAGCCTCCTGGTGAAGGAGGAATGTTGGAGAGACAGCCTTGATGCTGTGGGAACCCTGCTCAGCAGTAGCCAAAACACTGGTGTTTTATCCACACCTTTCTAGCTGCCAAGGCACAGCCCAGCTCTATGACAGCTGCTATGGGGAAAATTTACTTCATCTCATTCAGACTTTATACACAGGGATAACCAATGCAATTAATATAAACAAGTGAAATGTGATAGTTTGCTGAATGAAGTTTTTTTTCATTACTTACTTCTCCACTGCGTTGCAAAAACCAACTGTGTTTTCGTTACTTCCTTGATTTGCTTCAACCAGCTGGATAGACCAACCTGCATCCTAAAAATACCAAAGAGGCAAAGCTCTGTTATATAGATATCAGAAGCAGGATCATGAGGTTAACCTTGCATTTGGTTCCATGAGAGCTACCTTTCATACTTTATCATTCTTCCCCTGACTTGACGGAGTTCTAAATAAACACAAATGACCCCATTTTGACTGCACTCTAAATGCTTTCAGAGAAAAAAACAGAGTCACAAAGCATCAGCTACCCTGGGTAACAGCGGTTTTTCCTCTCCATGCAGAACATAAGGAATTATAAAGCTTTCAAAATTCACCTAGTGTCAGAGCAGAAATAACTCTAAATGCAGAAGTTGTATGCTGAGTGTACAAAAGGGAGAAGGGGCAAACTGAAGCTTATGCTGCAGTGCGTTTTAGTCCTTATTTTCTCTTCTTATGGCCTGCCAGGAAGCTCAGGATCTCCTCAAACTCCATGAACCTTTCATGCAAGTCCCTAAGACAGATAACAGGAAGCCAGTGTATTCTGCTGAGCATGAAAAATCCCCAGATGTTTTCTGTGCACTTTGGAGAGCAGAGGTCTGAGCTGCTATTTTGGGTCAGAGGACCCCTTTGTCTGTTTGCCATAGAACCCTCCAGTCAGAACATCACTTCCAGGAAAGAACTTAATACTATTATATCTGCAAGCCCGTTCTGTTGTAGGCAGAGACATACACGAGGCTTAACTATGTAAGAGCTTTTAAAGCCTTTCAGAAAGAGAAGCAACTAATAACGTCACAGAGGAGGAAACTGAGACATGGCAAAAGATTTATTTTATGATTTAAGTAATAAAAGTATAGAAATTTATAATCATCATAATAACTAATAAACAGAATTTAAGGTCCTTTTTGGCTGGACAAGGAAGTGCAACATGCATGAAAAGATGTTGGGGGGATATTACATGATCACATTATTACACATCATTTTCAACAGGATTTGAGCGTCCACTCATTGCAAATATCTGAAAGTGAGCAATGAATGAAACAGAATTGTGTATGGAGAGAACTGATGACAACAGGGATGAAGTAACAGAATGCGTTCCTTGATGGCTGGATTCTCTCTTTTTCAATCCACAGATTTCTCACCTTATGCTAATCAAGTCATCTGAACCATCTTTCCCAAATATGAACGCTAATTGTGTATTTCTCCTTTCTGGAGCACCAAAAACAAAATCATGAAGTTTGGTCTGATGATTGGACTTGGGTGAAGATGTCAGTCTTCTTAGTAACTCTGAAAACATTAGCTTCTAAAACTAGGTTTTAAATAAACAGATAAAGATATTATTTTTTTAGGTTGTATTTCAGTTTTCTTTCAAATATAGATAAAACAGCATCTCCTTTCACTGGGATACTATTAAGACAGTTTACTATTTTTGAACATCTGACCTGGTGATGACAAGACCAGAGAAATTCAATGTTTCCTTTATTACAGTGGACATATTTTGATTAGCACACATTAAATAAAGCCCAGGGCCATACAACTGCATCCGAGAGCTAAGGATCAGAATGACAGTACAATTTCAGCAATGTGAATGTTTTATCTTGCCTGCCTAGGACCTATCTCAATTCTAACCTCCAAGTATTCTTACAATTTCATTCTGCAATCTTGGTTCTCATCTCCTACTACTTGGATGCATCATTTACTCATCCTGGACCTCACAAATCCAATCTGTGCTCATTCCTTCTTTTGCTGTCGCGTTCCACTTTTCCAACCACTCTGATAGTCTTCACTTGGCATCAGGTCTGTCACCACACAGCACTTCTTGCCTTTTCCAAAACTCCCAGCCCAGTAGCAATGAGTTACTACTTTACAAGCTTTTTTTAATTTTCCCTCTCTCAATTTTCTTTCACTTTTATTTTCCCTTATCATCTCAAAGTTCAGTTGCCATCCCCTTCCCTTGGCTCTCTTTCTATCCTGACATGGCTGTTTCTCCCTGAAGGAATTCCTGTGACCACACTGATTTTCATGCTACAAATCAATTTTCTCCTCTCTCCCATTTCTTCCTCTCCTCACTAAACAGCTCAGATACTTCCCTGACTTAATCAAATCCTCCCACACATTTGATTGTAGTCGCCCTTGACTCACTCCTCTCCTCTTCCCTCCTCTATAATTCTCTGCTCCTCTGTCACAGAAGCACTTGTGCCTGTTTTGATATGCCTGCTTCCTGTAGCACCTCTTCTTCCCATACTACAATTTAATCTCCTCCTGCTCATTTGTATCCCGCTATTTGTATCCCACTCTTCTCATGAGAGGGCTTGTTCTTTTCATCATGATGTCAGCATGCTTTAGTTTTTCTATCATAAGTAAAATGCAACAATAGCCTTTTGTCTCTCCACCTATTCATCCCCTCCTCTTTTGTATTCATCGCTGAAATTCCAAAATGTGGTGCACAGGATTAGTCTTAAGAGTTCCTGTCCTCAGATATATTTCCCCCTGCTGCCTCCCCATCTGTCTGGGCCTGCATATGTTTACTTCTATAGTTCTTTCTATTCACAGACACAGAAGCAAGTCAATCAAGTGTCTCTTCCCCTTTGCTTTAAGATACTGTGATCACTAAAAGCAGAAGGTAAACCTAAACTGTCTTTTAATATTCATGGTGCAGAGGTATCCTGTAGGCTATTTCAGGATTCCTATAATGACTCAGAAAGCTAACAAGGACTGGAGGAAAGGGTGAATTTATCATTTTCTTTTTCCTTCTCTATGTCAGGATTTTGAAAGAAAGAAAATGAGGACAGGTATAACATCAGAGAGAGTCATGGGAGTCCCATAAGACATGGTTGTTAAAAATGGCAAAATCACAAATAGAGCTATGAATACCTGATGGAAGAGGAAAAAAGATAAAGGATTTGCCTCAAAAAGACAGTTCTAAGAGTGTGTGTCATAGGATCCATCTTCCACAGTTATAGTAGACACGTCTATTTTTAGAAAATAATTATATTTCCACACGTAAGTGCATGCAGAACATGGGGAAGGCAGGATATGGCATGTTTCATCTGTCAGGATCAGAATACGTCAGCCGAACCAGACACAGAGACAATCATTTGGCTCAACAAAAGAAACAGATTCAGCATAATGTATTGTTATTTAGAATCTCAGGTTTCATATCAGACCATAAAGATTTGTCATCTTACCTCTTTCAAACACATCTTACTCTACATTTTTGCACTTATCCTTCTGTGGTAGTTTTATGGTTCAGTGAGCCAAAAAATGAGCCTACTGGAGCATTCTAGACCATAATCTAGATTCTCTTCTGGTATAAAATGCTTTTGCTTCCCCTGAGGCATAAATGTTTTATTTTTCATAAGGTCTTTAAATTAAGTGCTTCTAATCCATGTTGTAGCAGTGTGAGTGAATACACAAAGTACAAGGACACAAACAAGAACAAAAAATTTTAAGGACTGTTAATATAAGCAAATTTCAATACCTCTCTGCCATGTCCAGAGCCATGGGGCCAAGCAGGTCCTATGTTGCATCTTCTGGAAGTGTTAGTTAAACAAGTTTCCCCAGTTCCACTTCCATCTCTCTCTTCTTGTCCAAATGGACGGCTGTCTAAGAAAATGGGACACCGGGCATCTACGCTGTTAAAGCCTATAGGAAAACCCAGACTTGTGTTGCCTCTTTCCACAGCTGAACCAAAGACATTTGTGACTGAATTTACACGACTCCCCCCACAGAGTTCCCTCTCTTGACTGTAGGGGTAGGGATCCACCAGAGAGAAGTTTCTGTAATCAGACAGCAAATAAGATCTGAATCCAACCGTGGGTGACAGTGTGCCTTGCTGCCAGCGAGAGACAGGATTTTCAGGGTAAGGTTCTCCATAAGCAACTAGAGGCTGACCATAAAAATACTGGCCAGGCACACCCGGACCAAAGACATGTGATGGGGAAAAGATTTCTTCATGATGATGTGAATGTGATGAACCATAAAAAAAAAATTCATTGCTGACTTCATCAACTATTCGATCAAATCCTAGAGGGATCTCTCCAACAGAACCAGGAGGGTACACTGGGTAAGACACTTGGTTCCCAGCCTGTCCTTTATGGAATTCACTGTGTGAGAAAGGCACCCTTCCAAAGTATGCCATGGCTGATTCTTCTTTTCAGTCTTATTAATCTTCGGGAAAGTCTCATAACAGTTCCAAGGTCAAGAGAGCAGTGTTCAGAATTGGAGCTACACACCACTGAAATGAAGCACAAAATAAAAGTTAAACCCCAAAATATCTAATATTAGAAAAGCAGTACATTGCAATATATTTTTTTGCTTTAGAGCTTTATCCACAGGGTGGAAATACTTTCTTCAAGTAGAGCCTGAATATTCTTTTGCTCGATCCTTATTTCCAGACATATTTTAATTATTACTATTGTTATTGCTATTATTAAATAATAGTAAGAAATAATAACAAATTAATACTATTATTATTATCCTTGACTCCTAAATAATAACAACAGGATGCCTGAAACAATTGATCTAAATATTAAGATACTAATTCTGACAAACATTAAAGAAAATCTCTGTGTTTCTTCCATTATTTTTACACTTGGATAGCACACAGTGCGGGGATGCAAAACAAGCAGTTAGGAAAGCTTTGTATTAATAGTTGACAGTTTCATTCACATCTTCCTTGTGCCTCAAATTTCTTCATATTCTACCACTTTTTATCTTAGTGTAGTAACATGAAGAACATTAAGAGAACATAGAAGACATGGACCTCCAACTAATATTCAAAACACTCCACCCCAAAAGCTTAGATATGGCATACAGAAGAGGGGAGGAAAAAAGATAAATAAATCAATTTCAGCCTTTTTTGTTCCTTTGTTTTACAAAACAGATTTATCTTCAAAGCCCGAGGCTGTATCTTCTTTAGTAAATTAGCAGGCAAGGGCATGAGCTTCTGCAGCAGCTCACCATCATTCATGCTGTTACTAGCAAACTTCCTGACCTAATTCTGGCATGTGCCAAGTACTCCTCCGGTTCAGATGGGCAGCATGTACTGGAAACTGCTGTCAGCAGGCACGAGGGTATCTCTTTTTTTAGGAAGGGAGTTAAGTTCTACAACCACAATCTATTCTGGGCCACTGGCCCTCAAGGCCTTGGCCTGTTTTATTTACTGATACAAATGTAGCCTAAAAAACAGAGATGACACAGAACAGCAATACTACATACAGCACACTGTTGTGCTGGAGTACTTTATCACATAAACGAAACAGAAACATCTGATTTAATAATTCAATAAAAAATGTATTCCCCAGCAGGAAAAGAAAAAGCTATTGAGATAAAAAGTGTGCTCTGAAACTGCTAAAGCTTAGCTCCACAAATAGCTTTTCCATTATGTCTCCAAGATACTGTATTAGTTCAGATAATAGCACCTTGCAATGAAAATCTATGTTACAACAGAAAGTACACACACAATTTTATTTATTTTTGTTTCATTTTTAAGTCAAACTCCAGGTGACATAAGCTTCTGTCACCCACAGTAGGAAATGAAAAGTGAAATGAAAACTTAAATAGGCTGAAATGAAATCTCCAACTTAGAGGTTGAACTACTCTTTCAAGAACTCAGCTTAGTAATTCCATGTGTTGCATGCTTTGGTTTGCTTTAACCATGTTGAAAAAAAGAAAGGTATTTATGAAATTACACTAAGCCAGGTAACCAAAATTACAGACACCATTTTGATTTGTGATCTAAACTTCAATTACAGTCTTTTCACCTTTCTCTGAGAGTGAACTCTAAAGTTTACGTCTTTAGATAAAGATGACACCAGTTTTTCAGAAAAAAAAAAAAGAACAGCAACAGGAATTTTTTGTATGAAATTTTTCCCATTTACAACTTCCCCTGTTTCATTTCTACAGCAGGTAAATACAAGAAGGGGAAAAAAAAAAAAAGGAAAGGATATAGTCATTTAATCAAGAAGTCTAAGGTCTTTGATTATTTTTTTAACCCAGCTCAAAAACTGGAATGTTTAAGGAAAATTACAAGACAAAATAATGATATCTCCTTCCAGCCTCATCTTCCTTCAAAACGTTTGGCTACCTGAAGACTATAATTGAGGCATAGAAAATCCAATACATTTTCCACCCTTTCAACTCTTTCTAAAATATTTTGTTTACTTTTTAAAGAAATTCTGTTAACGATGGCACATAAACGCCTAACAGCCAACCTTGCCCATTCATCACTAAGCCTCCATCTATACCTCTGCAACAGAGAAATATTCAGACACACAGAGCCCACCCCCACCTATCTGTGTATCAGTGCTTATCTCCTGTGCTCTCCATACTGTTCAGGAGAATGATTGCCTCCCCAGTGGTCTTTAAAAGCACAGAGTTTAGCTACAGTGCCAAAGGCTGGTCCATGTATTCCTCCTCCCTGTTTTCCTCACTGACCTGGGAAACTCACATGAGCAATGGCAAGATTGCACAACTGGTTCCCTCTCCCAGCCTGGATGAGGGCAGAGGAAGGGCCTGGCAGGGAGCAGACACTCATACAGCATTGTTTGTCTCTTTCTTGTGTTTAAAACTAACCATTTAGACTGTAATCTCAGCGTGCCATGGTGTAAATCTCAGTGTTTTAAGGCTTACTTACGAGTTTAGTCAGAATGACCAGGCTCTGCACTAGGACCAGCTGCTTTTTTCAAGCAGTGTACAAAATTCAGGAAATTATTTGGCTCTTTGCCTGTCACTATTACATCATTTGAATCATGCAAAGTGCATTGATAAAGATGAATTTTCAAAAATACCTAATGAGGAAAAACTGATATGTCTTTTAAAAAAACCCAAAAACCAAAAAACAACCAACCTAAGTTTTTAATTTTCTTTGCCTTGTTTCTGAATTCACATTTTGGAGGGTTTGACTTTTTCCTCCTACAGCTATGAACCCTCCTTCTCCTTTTAAATGACAGCTGCGTTTTCACACAACCATGTGGTTCTGTGATCAGGGGTTTTAAGAGAGAATCTCAACAAGCATTCTGAAATACTCAGTACAAACCAAGAGACTTGAAAAGCAACACACAGTGCTCACAACATGTGAGCCATCCAAGCACATGACAATACTTCCCAGACTTCAGCATGCACATGCATTCCACAAAGCCTGGTGCACGCTGGGCTCACTTTTCCATTTTACCTGAGCCCAGGAGGAGACGACTGGGCCACCTGCTAAGTGGTAAGAATTATCTGTTGCAACTTCTTACCTGAAACACATAATCTGTTTGAAGAATATTCAGTCTTCTGTGCTTTCCTGCTCACAGGCACATTTAGATGACCTATGTGCTTTCAGTATCAAGGGGGTGTAACTTTTTCGTCAGAAGCTTTCCTTCCTGTTTAACCGGTTTACTACGGTGATGATTCTTTCCCGAGTCTTCCTTCAGGGAAAATTGAAACAGCACTAACAATAAAAAGTTAACACCTAACACCTTATCTGTTCCCTTTCTCAATTTGGGAACCCAACCATTTCTTTTTTTTTTTTTTTTTTTTTTTAATTTTAAACAAGGTGGTAGATGATGTCACTAGCAGTACAATTTTCAAACACCCCTAAAACAACAACTTCACTGAGGGAAAGACTTGCCTCTTCGGAAGACTTCTGCACAAGAACAGGATTCAAAAACTTAACTCCATCTTCACAGAGCTTCCATCTATCTGTGCTGGTAGCACATGCTCTGAAAGGAGCTCCCAGCTCCACTCACAGGAGAAGGGGATAGGACAGACCTTTGATGGCAGAGAGGCCCTCTGGCTTTTGCTCCTCAGCACACAGAGCTGGTGTAGTCTAATGGGGGAAGAACCTCTCTTAAGCTGGGATATTTCTCAGGGACTAATGAGGACTTGGCCCTCCACAAAGGGCCTCGTTAAGAGCTGGAGTAAACACGGCACTGGTCACATACTTCTTCCTAGACCTCAAAGAGCCCGGGACCCTCCATAAAAGGGAGCAGCAGGAGCTGCTCCAGGCACAACACAGAGTGAGTTCCCTCAGGGACCATCTGCCTTCACACTTCATACCATTCCTTAAAAAGGTATAAATTGCTACCCTCGAGTGGCTGTTCAGAATTCAAACAAAATCCCAGCCCTAGTCCAAGCCTGTTCCTCCAAGAAAATACCAGCAAAACCAGTGAGGGAGTAAGCATCAACAAAACAGTATTTCAGTTACAAAAAGCCATGCAGTAAGACCGAACAATTAGGACAAAGCATTTAAAGTTAATAATTAATATCAGATATCTTATATCTGATAAACTGAAGTCATAATTTGATAAAGCGTTAAAGGAAAAACCCTGCCCTTCAAAGTATAAAAGCAGTCAATGATGTCATTGTGATTTAAAAGCAGTTACACAAGGACAAAACTAATCTCAGTTGGTGAAAGGAGATGCATTTTTTGTCATATATTCTCCAACCTTTAAAATGTCAACTTGCTCCACAAACTATTTGGTGGCACTTGTGCTGTATTGTAGTCATTTCCAGTGATTACTGTGAAGTGATCCTGAGAGAAGAGGAACACACCAATTTTAGGAGCTGCCATTTCAGAGTTTATGGCAGTGTGATGCTGCTTCATCTAACAGTGATTGGACACAGCGAAAGGAGGAGGATCAAGAGAACAGGAAATATGCACGGGAAGAGCTCATATTCCCAAGCACACGCAGAGGGTGATACGAATAATATAAACTGAGTTGGGACCCATCCCCCTCTCTCCCCACGGTGACTTCCAGGAGAAGGCTTGGAAGGTTTTTCCTGGGAAACTCTGGATATTTTCAGAATTGTATTTGGCTTTTAAGGTGGTCACTATTTTTCTGTTTTCCGCTTCCCATTAAAGGAGTAGACAGGAGTAGGCAGTAAACTGCTGAGTCACTTTCTACCCTAATTCCTCCCAGAACTGCCAAGAATTGTCTCCTCCTCTTTTGCTGGTGTGTGGGACAAAATCTCTAGAGACAAAGAAAACTGGATACTCCCTGGGATGTTTCCTTTACTTCTGTTAGATACTCTCGCTGCTCCACCCACTGGCAGGAGCCCACATCTCACTCGCTCTTCATTAATGAAGAGTCATGGATTTGATTTAGTTGTGCTTGTATGAGCCAGGTCTCAAAAAGCTGCAGGTAAAGAGCTGGC